AATTTTTTTGACATGTTAATTATATACAAACAATTTTATCTAACCGACGACTTATCCAGAATTTTCTAGCCAAAATCACTGTATTTTTCACAGTTGTTTTTTATTAATAACGGTAAAGAGCACAATCCCAAAAAACTAATTATTAAAACTAAACTGTGATTTGTTGTCTGTATTTTCATTTGTTGTAGCATTTTATCTTAAAATATTTTTTCTTTCATTTATTATTTAGATTACCCTTAAAATAATCATTTGGTCTGGTTTTAAATTGATTCTGTTTAGTACCAACATGCAAGACAAATCAGCTTAAGTTCAGATAAATCGACTAAATCGTGTGTAGTTAGGAAAGAGGTAGTAAGGAGAGGGGATATTGAACCAGAGCTGTCAAGTGGCGCCACTGTCGACAATGCAGCCATCTGATTGGCTAACGCTTTCTTTTGACGTATGATGGTGTCAATTACCAACCTTTGAAAATTGTGTCGTCACACATAGAAATATTAACCAAAACGCAATATGTGTCATGTTTTTCGCGGTAACAAAGTTGAAAGTCATAAGATTAGCGATGTCGTCAGTAGAAACACATGACAGTTTTTGTCAGTTTCCTAAATTATTGACATTTATGAGGTCTTGGGTTTGGTACCATAGTGGGGATAGTGGGGGGATAGATAAGGTGATGGGGAAGGGGTATTTATACAAGTGGGTATGATGCTAAGGAGGCGATGCCGCAGTGGTTGTCTCGGTTGCGCGCCATCTTGATATATCCGACGTCACCCCATGAACGGCCCCAAGAGTTCTTCACCAGCCAGTAGTCACCGCCATTCTCGTCAGTGCCGTAGCCAACCACCAGCACCTGAGGACATTTCAATACAAAAACTGTCAAAATAATGCCCTTTATTGTATTTTAAATGAAATAAAATGTTCCAATTTGCTTATCATCTTTGTAAACCAACAAAGTTAAAACATTTCTTCAGCTGGTGTCCGTCTTTATTTACTTCCTTAACAAGGATGTACCCATGTTCATCTTTAGTGGAATCAAATTAAAAAGATAACACTTCTGAGCACATTTGGGGAACCTTATACACTGACCTCTATATATATGGACAGGCTATACACAATAGTATTCTGTGTCTATTAGATCTTCGCCATTTTGTCGCTGTTGGTTGTGGTTAATCGCGGTGATGTGGATTGGAACTAATAAGAGGTATAGAATTGACTTTCAGGAACTTTAACTTTGGAACAACACAAGGCCTATCTCTACAGTTATTTCTTTAGATCAGTGCCCTTGTGCAATATAAAATAAAATGAATCTTCCTAAGTAATGTTCGTTACTTACGGCGTGATCTAGAGAAGAGGAGGAGCAGTTCTCGTCAAAGTATACACCGTCGGAGTAGAACTGGAAGGAGGACTGCGAGGCGTCAATGGCGACGGAGACAGGGCCCACCGTGGCCACCGCGGCCATCAGCTTGCCTTCATCACCTGCCGGGATGTCGACATAGCCACTATCATAGGCTCCGGCATTACTTGGGTTGTATCTGCGAATAACATTAATGTGATAAAATTGATCATTTAGTGATTAAAGACATTGTTTTTTTTATTTAAATGAGGCAAAAGGAATGAGAACTGTACAGCCTACTTATGAATGTTGCATTACATTGTGACGTCATAGCTCTTGACAAAAAAATAGATAAAATTATTAAAACGGATAATCTTAAAATTTGCTCTTCCAAATTCAAAAAAGGGTCTTGACATACAGACGGACTGACCACAATGAATGTTTGGATGGATGTTTGTTAGACGGTTTCTCCTGAACGGCTGTATGGATCTCGCTTTAATTTGGCACATAGTTAGGAAGAACACATATGTTACTAAGTTTTTTTTATTCTGCAAGATCTGACCTGCACTTATTCTCTGTGGCCTCATATGGGTAGCTATCTTCAGTGTCAATGCCTCCGTTTTCTTTGACGTATAGAAAAGAGTTGTTCATGAGACCACCATGGCAGCCATTGTTGCCGTACGCTGTGGAACAGTCGATCAAGTTCTGCTCCGAGAGAGACACCAGGCTGTGGGTCCTGCGGTAATGCTGTCCTTCCAGTGCTCCGGTCTGGGAAATAAATATTTACTATATAAATAAGTCGACGAGGACAAAGGCGTCAATGACAAACAAACTTCGACCCACTTCCTATAAACTAACAAAGAATCTAATGAATTCGATTTAAATATTTGTCAATAAGATGCGCTTTTCTTAACAAAGCTACTGTGGATTTGGGCTGTTATTACACTTGTAACGATTAAGGATTAACTCGTTAATTAACGAAGTTAACATTTTTGTTAGCGGATCATCTTTTAAGTTAACTTCAAAAAGTGTTAAGGCTTAGTTAAGTTTCGTTAATTTAGTCCGTTAATCGTTAATATTAGACACTTGGTGATGTATTATCATTTCTTTTAAATTACGCGCCACGTAACGCTCATAATTCCGGCTATTTTAGGCAACTGTCGACTAGTCGAATAGTGAACATACGAGTTGATTATTGTCGTATGCAAAGAGCACGCGTGAGTGTGATACATAATATGGAGAGCGTCCGGGAAAGACGCGAAAAACGTACTACCACATATTCCTGAGCCTATTTACGTTGGGTTTGGTTTATTATGTAATTATAATATATATTTCATGCGTGACTAACGCGACTCTGTTCTTTTATAAATAATGTTATATACAGTGAAGTACATAATTTAAATGACTCAGTTCGATGAATAATTGCATTTAATTGGTTCGATTTCCAGTGTCACTAAGTTTGACAAATAGGCCATGATTGATGATTTGTGCAAACATTTGGCATGTTTTTTTTATATATTTAAAAATGTGGCAAACGAGCGAGCGGCCACCTAAAATCGCTAAATAGAGAAGTGACCGTTGCCCATAGACATAAGCAATTGTATATGCGTTGCATACCTTTATCGACGGAGGAGAGGATGCACAGAAAGAAAATATTTTCTCTTTCCATGCACCCTCTCATCCGGAAAGTCAACTTCCATTTCCCATCCTTTCCTTATAAGAGAAAGGGTGGGAAGGGAAAGAGGACTAAATTAGGCCTTCGGGACGCACACTCATCAGACGAAACACGGAATTGCTATCACTTGACGCCTGTCTTCTGTGTGGTCGTGGTATATCACCGGGCGAGCCGGGACAATTCGTGCGAAGATAAAGCGGGCTCTACCACTGTTAGAACAGACACTGTATCAGAAAAATAGATGTTTTATGATCGAATTGTATTGTTTGCCGCCTAAAAATATTATTTATGATTATGTGCAAAGATTGTGATTGAATGGGTGTTCACTTCGATTAATACAAATAAAAAAATACATGAATAATATTGGTTTTAATTTTTTTTAAATAAAACGGCAATTTAATAGGTAAAGACTAAATATTATATTTCAATAGGGTTATGAGCAAAATATGTGTATTAGAGTTTTTAGATCGGATTATTTTGCTTTAAATATTCACTCGTCAATTGCTTTACTTATAACAAATAATTTCAACTGAAGATTCGTTTCATGATTGAATAGCAAATAAATAAACAGTAGGTAAATATAAATAAGCCTAAAACATTAACAATATCCTAAAGGATTTGTGCAGTAAGATTTCACAGATAAAGTCATGTATGGTTTGAAACGATCCTGCATTGAAGAGCTACAATTAAATAATGTAACTCTTTTCGTCGAATGGAGCTCCTCAAGTCAATCATGAATGCTCTTAAAGTAGACGGTAACAAATGGTCTAATTTTTTTTTTAATTTTTTATATAAACAAAGAACAATATACCCATTGCGGGTTTGTCCAGATACTTTGGTACTACGCTATGAAATAAAACAGTTGGTAAGTTTAATTTTTTTTTGTTTACAGCAAATTCGCTCATACCGTTATAAATTATGTTTTTGATGTTTATATTGTTTTTAATATCTGGAGGTAAATTATTTATTAATATTGGAATTATATATTAAGACATACGCGACGTAATTTAGTTAGACTGAAGACCACATTTGACCATGGGTTTCTGAGACCAAAATCTTTGTATAAAATATCGTCATCCCTTTCATTTTTGTCTAAACAGATATAAAAATATGTTTTAAACGGGGATTCTGGTGTCAGGATCCAACGGTCAGTATGTTATGTGGTACTTACCGAGCTGAAGGACCAGCATGAGCCGCACCTGCCCTGGTCCTTGACCTCTGTGACTGCGCCGTATTCTCGCCAGTCTATATGGTCCGGCAAATTCACATTGGCTGGAGGGATGAAGGTAACGCCGCGCCCACCCTTACCGGATAGATCACTGCTGTTTCAACACACGACAATATTATATTAGATTCTTTGATTGATAATTTTTTCTATCATTTTTGTCGCCAATAAGCACAAGTTTAATAGTATTTTTGGTACCATGAGGTAGTGTAATGTACGCTTGATTATTTTCATTTTAATCGAATCCATAGTCTATCCATACATTAGATATCTAGTATTTATATTTGTATTTAAATAATAATAATAATCTATATTTAATTACGTATATGTTAAGAATCTATATAAACTTTAGGCAATAGATAAGAGAAGGTGCTGTCTCCTGAAACACAGTATTTACTAGTTCAGGAGCCAGAGCCCACAAAATTTTTGTGAAAATGTTTTTCATTTGGTCCATAAAGGATTTTTTTTTAATTTTAATCTATGTTAATGACATTTGCATCTCACTAATTATACAAAGTGTAAGAGTGTAAATACAGTAAAATGTTTTTGAACCTCCTGTTGTCCACGTCTTCCCTGAACGCTGTATATATGCATCATACGAGCGTGACTTGGCGATTAGTTTAAACAAAAAGAAAATACCAAATGTCCTAATGTTAACGATTATCGAATTAAATTAACGTATGTTGAATTTAACGGAAGTTACAAGAGCGTTAATACTTTTTGACTTATTTAATCAAGAATTTAACGCTTTAAGGATCAAAGAAGTTAACTTTTGGATTAACTGTGCCCAACTGTGGTAATCATATAACTAGCATTTTGAAACGTTGAGAGATGGAATTCTCTTTATCTTTAACCTTTTTTAATTTTTCAATAAAAATACTCACTTAGCTGTCATATTGAATCCGTTCATAGTTAGTACGAACTCATGTTGCAACATGTCTGCATACTTGTTCTCCTTCAGTCTGAACGAGACCTCACCACGCGCGAACTTCTGGTTGTGTACGGCTATGTTATGCTTGTTCTCTGCGTATATCTTCATCCTTAAATTATCTTCTACCTCGCTGTCGTAATTTTTGTTATGCTCCATCTAGAAAAAGACAAAAGATAAAACATCATCTACAAAGGAAAGCGACAGAAGACCGTAGTACAAAGTAACAAAGATCGGTAACAAAGAAAGCTAAAATGATCTCTTAAATAATAAAATATTATACGACTATACGAATATAAAATCTATATCATGCATTGGTACTTGGTTAAATGTTTTTTAATTAAGTAAACCGTACCTTAAATGCATTCCACTCCTCTTTCACCAGATCTGAGAAGGTGACGGCGCTGGCCGCGGCCATCACGCACAGCAGTACTACCAAGGCTCTCATGGTTAAGCTGGAAGAACAAATATTGATAGTCTCTCTTCCAAATCTGTTTTACAAAGGTCGCTATAATATATTAAATTAGTATATAGAGATTATATATATGATATATAGGCTAATAATACTGTATTTTGTATGAAATAGCGTATAATGAGCGTCGGTGGCTCAGGAGTTTAAGCACTTGACTTGTAATGTGCAGGTCCTGGGTTCGAATCCCGCCATGTACCAATGTGTTTTTCGATTTTTGATTATGTACATTTATCCGACGTGCTTACGGTGAAGTAAAACAGCGTGCAGGTTGCGCACATGTCTGTGAAGAAAATTTAAAGATATGTGTGAAGTCAACCAACCCGCACTGGGCCAGCGTGGTTGACTATGGCCTAATCACCCTTAACTTAGGATAGGCTCCGAGCCCTTGGTGGGGACGTATAGTGAGCTGATAATGATGATGATGATGATATAGAGATTCCTGTACTCTAGTCTAATTCAGAAACGACAACACTCCTATAAGACCGATGTCGGCACCAATTAGCCCCAAGCCCGTATGATACCTTTCTCCAGAAATTACTTAAGTTAAATACTTGAGTGCCACCGTTTCTTTAGTTATTTTAAAGTTAATTTGTAACGTCATGTCAAAGTTAAAGTAAGTATGTAATTTTCTAAATCTCTGATTCTTTCGAAATTATGAACCTTTAAAGTGGAATTTATGCTCTAGAAGTCCAATGCAAGTACAATTTTTTGATCATTAAAAATCGAATCAAATTAACAAAAGTATTATTGGAAACGCCTCCTAACGCCTATAAACAATCGAAATCATAAGAAATTTGGCACAAATGTAGAACGTAGTCTGGAAGAACACCAATTTTTTTAACAAAAAAAAAAACAATTTTTTTTTAATTCATCGCGGACGAACCGGTTGACAGCTAGTTTTATTATATTCTCTTTGAAAATGTCACACTGGCCTAAAATCTATGTGTAGACAATTAAATGACAAATCCAAGTGCAATAATCCCCTTTTATCCTCAGTTTACTGACAGCGCCGCGAAGTTAATTTTTCACGCCTGTTGTGTGTTGTGACTCGCGCTAGTAGACATCTGACTAAACTTATCATGCGATCGCAAATATTCTAGATCTCACGAATAATGTAGCCCCAATACAAAGAGAAAACAAAATCATAAAAATAATGCAAAAACTTACCTTGAGTTAAACAGTGGTGTTTTGTTCCTATGAATCGTAGAAATCTTTTGAGGAAATTGATTCAAAGCGCGATATTTAAGGAGAATGAACGAATTCCTTTTCATCATTCAACACGAGTTTTACATTGAAGAAAAGTGATAAGAAATATTTAGCATTTAATATCTATATTAAACAATTGATAACTATGGTATTTGGCATGTTTAACTATTTAAATAAAATAAAAATATTATTACGGTTTCCAAGGTAATAGATGTTAAGTTAAATATAAAGTTCAGTATGATCAACTACGTGTAACAAGCCTGTGTTGTGGGTTTTAAAACCTCAAATAAAGTAACTAATATTTGTCGTAATTAAATACTAAAAAAAATGATGGAGAAGTCTTATAACTCAAGAACGGCTTTACCGATATGGCTGAAAATTAGTGAGGAAGCAGCTTAGAGCCAGGAGACGGACATAGGATACTATTTATTCATTTTTTCCGAAGTTATGCCTTGAAGAGCTGCTTTTTATTTAATTTAATAATATTATAAATTCGAATGTTGAGATGGATGCGATGTGGATGGATGGATGGGTGTTTAAAGATATCCCTAGAATGGCTTAACGGATCTCGATTAAATTTGGCATACGTATAGAACATAGTCTGAAAAAACACATAGGCTACACTAATTAAGTTTTTTTATATATCCACGCGGACGGAGTCGCGGGTGACAGCTAGTTTAATTAACAGAAAATTTAACATCTTCGATGGAGAAGAAACATTAAATTGGTATCACGAAAGTAAATCATTTTCAGGTTATGTATTAGAAAAGGAAAATTATCATTGACTATTCCATACTATGCTACCTGACCTTCTTACTAATATTATAGGTGCGAGGGTGGCTTTGTTTGTCAGTCCGTCTGTCTGTCTGTCTTTCTTTAGCGCGGGAAGTGCTGGGCCGCTTTAAATGAGGTTTGGTACATGGTTGGTCTGGAGCATGGGACTGGACATGGGCTGATTTTGACACGAGGAAAGGTTTGTAAGAGCTTGAAAATGGGAATGAAAGTTCGTATTGGAATAAGTGAAGTTTATGCGAATGTTTTGTGGTTTTTATATGTTTTGTTGTAATGTTTAATAAGTTCGATTAAATGATGTTTTTCGCGCGAGCGAGGTCGCGGGCACAGCTAGTACATGCATAACTCAGTCATTTCTATCAATTTACTTCTTATAATTGTGCAAATGTCTGTTTTTAATTATCTTAATCTTATATATTGTTTACTACACTATTTTTAGGGTTCCATACCTCGAAAGGAAAAAAAACTGAACCCTTATAGGATCGCTTTGTTGGCCGTCCGTCTGTTTGTCAAGACCCTTTTTTTCAACAGGACAAATATCAAGACGAAATGTAGTTGATTGTTTAAGAGCAATTCATTGTTTTTCGATAGATGGCGCTACCAGAAAAGTAAAAAGGTACTGGCACATATTGGCGTCGTGAGATTTTTATGATTAAATCGAGTAATCTTTTGTTTATTTTTCATTATTTAAGAGAGAGTGCGTTTTTGCAATTTGTTGAGAGAATGTTGTCCTTACAGTCTTATTTAATATTTCGTAGTGTTTATTTGTATTTGTTTTGTTCTAGTTGTAATGATAAATTTATAAAAAACAACTTACGTTGAATTCTGTGTTAATCAAATCTTAGTACGAGTTATAAAAGGGTTTTAATAGTTTAGAATGAGTAATAGAAAAGGTATTTTTTGTATATTGATATACGATGCGATATATTTTTCTCGTTATCTTTCAATCGCTCTGTGTCATGGCGTGAGGTTATTGTCTAAAATGCTTCTTAATTATTACGATGTTTGCATTAAAAGGACTTTTTTTGATTTATTTCTAGATATTTTTTTTACCTAAACATGGCAACACTGGTAATGTACATTATAATAGTACATCGCAGTTCTGTGACCCCGTGACCTCTATTGCCTAGTCACGTGCTTGTTAGTTCTCGCTTTTTTGTAAAGGAAATATTAAGTTGTTCATAGATGCTAATGTTACTATGATTTCTAGTATTATAGAATTTAATAACTATGTTGTAGACTATATTATAAGAAAACTATTTTAATGTCTTGTAGAAACTAACAAAGAAATAATGATCGGTGTGCCAAAACAAAGAGGTTAGAAATTGTAAAATACTTTTTAAAAAATAAAAACTTATTGTCACTTGTATAGTTATGGAGTTTGAAAAGTTAGTAATTTGTATTGAAACGCTAATTTTAAAGGCGATTTCTACTTAGAATTACAAAAATAAAACGAAATATATTTAAAACATCTTTATTACTTAAATCTTACATAACATCCACATTTTATTTTTATCACAAAGTAACCGAAATGACAATTAAAGAAAGTTTTGTCATACATTTTTTACATTTTCATCTCAACTAAACACTTTTAAACGGAATGTTAGGTGAGTCATGGATTAAAACTTTTTTATTTGCTTAAAACATACTAAATTACAATACTAATAAATGGTAAAATAATTATAATATTTTTTTCGATGTTAATTATACACAAACAATTTTAAATCCGAACGACTTGTCCAGAAATTTCCATCCCAAAATCACTGTATTTTTTCACAGTTGTTTTTTATTTATAAGAATAAAGAACATAATCCAAAAAAAAAACTAATTATAAAAACTAAATTGTGATTTGTTGTCTGTACTTAATTTTTTTTAATTTGTCGTACCATTTTATCTTAAATTATTTTTTTCTCTTATTTATTATTTAGACTAACATTATATATTATTATTATATAATAAAATAATAATTTGGTCTGCTTTTAAATTGATTCTGTTTAGTACCAACATGCAAGACAAATCAGCTTAAGTTCATATAAATCGACTAAATAGTGTGTAGTTAGGAAAGAGGTAGTAAGGAGAGGGGATATTGAACCAGAGCTGTCAAGTGTCGCCACTGTCGACAATGCAGCCATCTGATTGGCTAACGCTATCTTTTGACGTATGATGGTGTCAATTACCAACCTTTGAAAATTGTGTCGTCACACATAGAAATATTAACCAAAACGCAATATGTGTCATGTTTTTCGCGGTAACAAAGTTGAAAGTCATAAGATTAGCGATATCGTCAGTAGAAACACATGACAGTTTTTGTCAGTTTCCTGAATTATTGATATTTATGAGGTCTTGGGTTTGGTACCATAGTGGGGATAGTAGGGAGATAGATAAGGTGATGGGGAAGGGTATTTATACAAGTGGGTATGAAGCTGCGGTGGCGATGCCGCAGTGGTTGTCTCGGTTGCGCGCCATCTTGATATATCCGAGGTCGCCCCATGAACGGCCCCAAGAGTTCTTCACCAGCCAGTAGTCACCGCCATTCTCGTCAGTGCCGTAGCCAACCACCAGCACCTGAGGACATTTCAATACCAAAACTGTCAAAATAATGCCTTTTATTGTATTTTAAATGAAATAAAATGTTCCAATTTGCTTATCATCTTTGTAAACCAACAGAGTTAAAACATTTCTTCAGCTGGTGACCATCTTTATTTACTTCCTTAACAAGGATGTACCCATGTTCATCTTTAGTGGAATCAAATTAATAAGATAACACTTCTGAGCACATTTGGGGAACCTTATACACTGACGGACATATGGACAGGCTATACACTATAGTATTCTGTGTCTATTAGATCTTCGCCATTTTGTCGCTGTTGGTTGTGGTTAATCGCGGTGATGTGGATTGGAACTAATAAGAGATATAGAATTGACTTTAAGGAACTTTAAGTTTGGAACAACACAAGGCCTATCTCTACAGTTGTTTCTGTAGATCAGTGCCCTTGTGCAATATAAAATGAATATTCCCAAGTTATGTTCGTTACTTACGCCGTGATCTAGAGAAGACGAGGAGCAGTTCTCGTCAAAGTATACACCGTCGGAGTAGAACTGGAAGGAGGACTGCGAGGCGTCAATGGCGACGGAGACAGGGCCCACCGTGGCCACCGCGGCCATCAGCTTGCCTTCATCACCTGACGGGATATCGACGAAGCCGTTATCATCAGCTCCGGTATTCTTTGGGTTGTATCTGCAAGTAATATTTGGTATTATGATTTAATTTATTATTTAGTGCTCATAGACAAATGGTTTTTTTTATTTAAATGAGGCAAAAGGAATGAGAACTGTACAGCCTACTTATGAATGTTGCGTTACATTGTGACGTCATAGCTCTTGACAAAAAAATGGAAAAAATTATTCAAACGGATAATCTTAAAATTTGCTCTTCCAAATTAAAAAAAGGGTCTTGACATACAGACGGACGAACAAAGTGATCCTATAAGGGTTCCACTTTTTTTCTTTCAAGGTACTGAACCATAAAAAGATCGCAATATGAGCGATAGGCATAGTTTAGCTTTTGGCTCATCCCAACGGATCAAAAAACATAGACAAAATGTGTTCATAATTTTCTAAATAATCTAACCTGCATTTATCATCAATGCCTTCATATGGGTAACTCTTCTCAGTGTCAATGCCTCTGTTGTCTTTGATGTATTTAAAAGCGTTGTCCATGAGACCACCATTGCAGCCATTGTTGCCGTACGCTGCGGAACAGTCGATCAAGTTCTGCTCCGAGAGAGACACCAGGATGTTGGTCCTGCGGTAATGCTGTCCTTCCAGTGCTCCGGTCTGGGGAACATTATATTTGCTATTTCATGAAGAATTAAAAAAAAATAGTAGGTATCTCCAGAACTTCTGCACAGAACTCGCTGAAAATTAGTATAAATGTAAAACATAGCCTGGAAGAACACATAGGCTACTAATAAAGAATTTTTGTTCCACGAGGACGGAGTCGCGTGCAACAGCTAGTATATTAATAAAATAAGATATGTCATCGTACAATAACATTCACAGAATGTCAACGAACTCTTCTTTGTGATCAAAATATTTACTATATAAATAAGTCGACGAGGACAAAGGCGTCAATGACAAACAAACTTCGACCCACTTCCTATAAACTAACAAAGAATCTAATGTATTCGATTTAAATATTTGTAAATAACATATGTTTTTCTTAACAAAGCCACTGTGAGTTTAGACTGTTATTACACTAGTTTCGATACATTGTTATCCCTTACATTCTCTATGAAAGAAACAAGGACAACATGAACTGGTCAGTGGGAGCGTTAGCCAAAGACCAAAGATCGTAGTTTTTTTTTTTATTCGAAAGATTTTATATGTGGCCGTTCGTTCTTATTTCAAAATAGTTTAGATATATTTTTTTACTTTTTTGGAGATCCCCTACTCCTGCCCCGGCAACGTCAATGACCAGTGACATCGTTAGGCATTAAAAAACAAATTATTGTTCCACATTTAGTGAAAAATTAAACTAAACACATATAACCTCCATTGTAAACTCTATTTAATTTTGCTGATTTAACTCTAAATAAGGTAATTATTTTTGTCGTATGAACTAATTAAACGGCTGACCTTTGCACATTGGATCACGCTGGTCATGTACAACGCTGACCTAGCACGTGATCAACAAACTAAACCTCAAGGTAATCACTTATAGCTAGATAGGCAATAAAGATGTAATCTTAATATAAATACGAATGTTTGGATGTATGGATGCCAATTTGAAGGTGTCTTCGGAACGGCTTAATGAATCTCGAAGAATTGTGGGATATGTATGCACCGTGTGGACGGAGTCGTGGGCGACAGCTAATTATGTACTAACTGTCGCTTGCGTCAGCGCGAATTAAGAAAACTCAATTAGTAGCTTATGTGTTCTTCCCGATTATGTTCTACATTTATGCCAAATTTAATAAAGATCCGTTGTGACGTTCTAGAGATACCTTCTAACATCCATCCTAGATGGATGGATGGAACTTTCGTATTTATAATAGAAAGATTTATTTCACAAATACCAAGTAAATTTTTTAATTTAAAGTAAGTCATATTATTATAAATGAAACTAATATTAGATATTAGTTTTAAAATCTGACCCTATTTACGCTACGTCTGTTTTATTTACTTTTAATATGTATTGTTTCGTGCGTGACTAACGCGTCTGTTCCGGGCGTAAGTAATATTATGTACAATGAAGTACATAATGTAAATGACTCAGTTCGATGACTACATTTAACCGGGTCGATTTACAATGTCGCGATGTTTGACTAACAGGTCATCCATACATTTGTACAAACATTTGTCAAGTATCAGAAAAACAAATGTTTCGTGATTAAATTGTATTGTTTCCCGCCTAAAAAAAAATATTTATTTCTCATCAAATTTCCAATAACCGTTAAAACTTTTATAACTGGCCATTATTATTACCACTACCACTATTATTTAATTTATTTTTGTAAATAAACGTAAACACACCCATTTTAAAACAACAATGAACAAAGAATTGGCAAATAACAATAATTTAAACATCACAACAAATACGTATTTAAAATAGAATTTGAATTTAGAACGCACAAACAATAAAAACAACATTCGGCAATGAATAATAATCAGCCATCACTATTACGTACAATTTGAATTTAGAACAACAATCTTGACTGCTTTATTTAGAACAGTTTTTTTTTTATAAAAGGCAAAGACAGCGATGCATTTATGAGTCGATATAAAAGCAATATAAATTTTCTTAGGGAACAATTACTAACACTAATCTCCCACTTTAGGGTAGGCTCCGAGCCCCTCGGTGGGGACGTACAGTGAGCTATTGATTGAATTACGGTAGAATTTTGAACAATGGGCGACGACTATCAGTTAGCCTTAATACTCCCTGTTGCATATTACAAAAAGATGAAGGCTAGTATCGATGTGTACATTATGTAATAGTTAGAAATAGTTGCATTTATTTTGCTCAGTCCACTTGTAATAAGGAAAATCATATGCCAATAACATTTCAAGGACAACGGTTCTTTCTATCGATGTATGGTGAACATAAGTTTAACACAATTACGGACAAAGTTATTATTAAACTCACGTTAATATTAATTCAAGAATTATTCTGAAACTACAAATGCTATTATTAGGAAAAAATATATTTCACGATATTTTCTTAATTCATTATTTATCTGTAATAATAACATGACAGCTATCAAAATATAACTGTTATTTTAACAGTGATGAGACTGATAGCAGGAAAAATAACTGGTTAATGCAACCATATTACGTTTATATGAATGTCGGTGATTTCCCACATCTGGCTAGCAGCAAAAACTTTCAAAACCAGTTTATGGCGATCACCTGATGCGGTTTACACGATTTTGTTGTAAATTACCCACTATTACTTAGGTCGTATGGTTGAAATTCGTATAGTTAAGATATAAAGCACTTTGTTATTATATTTCAATATGGGTATGAGCAAATGTATCTTAGGGTCTCTCTCGTCAATTGCTTTACTCTTAAAAAAAATTTGAACTGATGATTCGTTTATTGACTGAATTGCAAGTAAATAAACAGTATGTAAATTTAAATTGGCTTAAAACATTAACAGTATCCTAAATCATTGGCGTTGTAAGATTTCGCATATCATAAGTAGTAAGTCATGTATCCGACGTAAAGAGCTGCAAGAGTTGTATAAACATAAATGTTTTTAGCGAGGATTTAGTTGTCAGAAACACAAGGGTAGTATGTTATGTGGTACTTACCGAGCTGAAGGACCAGCATGAGCCGCATTTACCCTGGTCCTTGACCTCTGTGACTGCGCCATGTTTGCGCCAGTCCACGTGGTCGGGCAAGTGCACATTGGCTGGAGGGATGAAGGTAGCGCCGCGCTCTCCCGCGCTCTTGCCGAACAGGCCCTTGCTGTTCCTACAAAAGACAATGTTACATTAGACCCTTTGACTGCTAAGTTTTAGCAACGTGAGCTGTAGATTTATAAATCCGAGTCTCGGGACACGTGATCCGTTCAATAACGTAAGGGTAGACATCAATGATCGAATGTGCTTCATTGAATCGAATCCCTTGTTGTTCTTCGTTAATTTGTGAACGCATAGACTTTATTTCACCCCATTATAACGAAACCTTCTGATCTTCTTACCCGAGTTCAAGCTTAACAACTTTAGAAATTGCTATTCTAGTGGTTCTTATTGCTCGATTTAAAAAAAAACACCATCATCAAAAGCAGTATAGGAGGTATGAATGATCTTATAAGATAATAATTTCAAGGTCATTGCAAAGTTATGGCCTGGAGCTGCGTAAATAACGTTTGATCGGACATAATAACAATTATTCGGAAACGCATAAAAAGCTACAACACGATAAGGGGGCGACAAACACTATATTTCGTTACGCTAATCTTGTTTACTTGATAAATTATTCTTTATTATTTACAATGCGATTTGTGTCAAATGATTATCGCTTTTGTCATTTAATAAAAAAATAAAAGTCTCATCTTTGTTGAAAGAAATTGGCGACATATTGTAAATGTGTGAAATAACCCAAACAGCAAATGACATGGCTGACTTATCACCCCTAATAAGAAAAACCCTTAAAATCTCCTCTGAGATGTTTTTTCATCTAACAGTGGTAGAGCTCGCTTTAACATGTTCGCACAAATTGTCCCGGCTCGCCCGGTATAATACCACGACCACACAGAAGGCAGGCGTCAAGTGGAAGCAATTCCGCGTACAGTCTGATGAGTGTGCGTCCCGGAAGCCTAATTTAGTCCTCTTTCCCTTCCCATCCTTTTCTTTATAAGGAAAGGATGAGAAGTGGAAGTGGACTTTCCGGATGAGAGGATGCATGGAAAGAGAAAATATTTTCTTTCTGTGCATCCTCTCCTCCGTCGATTTAAGGAAGGCCACGCATATGCATTTGCGTATGTCTATGGGTAACGGTCACTTCGCTATTTTAGCGATTTCAGGTGCCCGCTCGCTCGTTTGTCACCTTATGATATATAAAAAAAAAGAATAGAATTTAGGTATTTCAAAAAACAAACTTTGCACAGCATGTTTACTAAAACAGATTGCGATGACTAAGCTATTGTGCGATGTCCGCCCTCCGGACGTCAAATTGCAGATAAACAGACATTCATATTATATTACAAATGCATACAAAAAGATAACCGTATCACAAACAAATTTCGCAATAAATCTATACTAATATTATAAAGTTTGTTTAAGCGCTAATCTCAGGAACTACTGGTCCGATTTGTAAAATTCTATTTTTGTTGTATAGTCCATTTATAAAGGAAGGCTTTAGGCTATATAACATTACGCTGCAACCAATAGGAGCGAAGCGTTAGTGAGAATGTGTGAATGTCACATTTGAAAACATTCGTTGCGTGCGCTCATAAACGGTTTAAGTTACTCCAAAACAACGCGAACTGCTAGTCGTAAATATATTGCAATCTCTAATTGTATTTAAATATACAAATTTAATGTGTAAATTTAGATAAAAAAGGGTTGATCTTTGCAACTTTAAATTTAGTTTGAATGTTAAAAATTAAAGCAAAATGTCAGGTCAACGAACGTCCATTTTGCGTCCATAAAAAACTTTGCCGTAATATATATATATAATTAAAAAGTGTTTTAATTATTGTAAATTAAACCTAATTAATTCCACCTATAGACCTATAACACTTAGGGGAAGAATACGAATCTAATAACCTCATTCCTAAATCGGTCAAATTATTTAGGTCATATGTAACAATGAAAACTACATACATACAAACATACAAGCATGTTGATGTTTTTATCAACAAAGACTACATAAACTCATCCGTACACTGATATTTCATAGTAAACAAACCACGTATCCATAAGGTCAAAAGACCTTAAAGTCAAACACTTCGTCATGTCTGATAAATGTCACGTGAATTATTAAAACTTGATAATATTTATCATAATGAGGACAATTATTATTATTATATTAATTATTGCAAAGTTTATTGTACGATGTTATTGCCGGGTCTGAGATAGACATTATTTTTATTGTTCATTCATATTTAAATTACATTATAAAAAGTAAGATATTATTGTAATTAGATTAATCAAAGATATTTATTTTATAATTTATCCGTTAATTGATTTTACAATAAATTTTTATTATTATAAGTTAACTAGCTGTCGCCCGCGACTTCATCCGCGTGGATATATAAAAAACTTAATTAGTGTAGCCTATGTGTTCTTTCAGACTATGTTCTATGCGCATGCCTAATTTACTTAAGTTTAGCCATTCTAGAGATATCTTCAAACACCCATCCATCCATCCACAAAACATAAATTCGAAAAATAAAATAAAAAATGAACAAATAGTATCCTATGTCCGTCTCCTGGCTCTAAGTTATCTCCTCGCCAATTTTCAGGCATATCGGTTAAGCCGTTCTTGAGTTATAAATAGTGTTACTAACACGACGTTCTTTTATATATATATAGATAATAAAAGTTTTTTAATTGTATCAAATATTTATGAATATTTAATTCGTCGTGACCTCCAGTAACCTTGACACGTTATTACCCAATATCATTCCTGGTAATTTATAAGTAGAAAAACTTGAGTTTTCACTGCCTAAACATTGTTAAAATCTCAAATTTTCCACATTTAAAAACTAAAAATATATTTTATACAGTGGCAATGGAAATTTACGGCATTTTCCGATGTTAATCATACGACCAGCTTTCCAAAACATATGTTGAGAGATGAAACTCTTTTTACAATTTTTTTTTAAATACTCACTTAGTTGTCTTATTGAATCCATTCATAGTGTGTACGAACTCATGATGCAACATGTCTCCATACTTGTTCTGCTTCAGTCTGAACGAGACCTCACCGCGTGCGAACTTCTGGTTGTGTTTGGCTATGTTGTGCTTGTTCTCTGCGTATATCTTCATTCTGAATTTATCCTCTACCTCGCTGTCGTATTGTTTCTGGTGCTCCATCTAGAAAAAGACAAAAGATAAAACATCATCTAGAAAGAAAAGGGACAAAAGAACGTAGTACAAAGATACAAGGATCGATAACAAAGAAAGCTAAAAATATCTGTTTTAAAACAAACAAAGAAATTACACGACAAACATGCGGGATGACCTTGAAATGTCGAAACTATAAAACACCATATAAAAACATTATTAGTAAAAATATATATCCAGCAGTGGACTTGGTTAAATGTTTTTAACTAGATAAACCGTACCTTAAATGCATTCCACTCCTCCTTCACCAGATCGAAGAAGGAAACTGCGCTGACCGCGGCCACCACACACAGCAGTATTACCAAGCTTCTCATGGTTAAGCTGAAAGAACAAAAATTGATAGTATATCTTGCAGGTCTGTTTTAAAAAGGTCACGAGAATATATTGAATTAATATATAGGAATTCCTACCTTCTAGTCTAATTCAAAACGACTACACTCTAGACCAAAGTCTAAAGATTAAACTCCGATTTCGGCACCAAATAATCCTAAACTCGTAAGAGACCTTTATTCTGTTTGAGTCGGATTGGGATTACTGAGTTAAATACGTTTAGTGTAACCATTTATTAATTATTTTAATATTTATTTGGAAATTTTCTACCATGTAATGTAAAAGATGAAGTGAATATGTAACTTCCTATATCTTTCATTTTGTTTAAATTATGAATCTTGAAAGTGGAATTCGTGCTGTAGAAGTCCAATGCAAGTACATTTTTTAAGGATTAATATCGAATCAAATTAACGAAAGTACTATTGGAAACGCCCCTTAACGCATAAAGAACAATCGAATTTTCAAAGCTATTACAACTAATATTTAGGAATTTAGGAAATACTCCAGAAACTAGCAGAAATTGTTTCAATGTTTTTTTGGGGTTTAAATATTAGTGTTACTATTTAAATATTATTAGAGAGACGTAATAAATTTGCTCAAAAACTATTTATTTTGACAAAGAATAATTTCTTGTCGCATCTTGAAAATTCCTTGGATGAATAGAATTTCGTATTGCCTTTGCCTGGCATCATCTTGCAAATGTCGTAAACATTACTATAATTAGATTACTGATAATTAACTTTTAAAATTTTAATAAATACTGACGGTATTTATAAAATGCCTCGAAACATAGAAAATAATTAATATCGGGCATAAACATCATAATTCATCGCAAATGTTATCGTTTTTTGTTTTTACACAACACAATAACAACAAAAAGTATCCCAATAAATTACATCTCTAATTAGATATAGGCATAAAATATTTAATTAAAAAAGTACTGACAATGATTTTGTTAAATGTTTTCATTGTATTACTAACAAAAGTAAGAAGTTGGGAATAGTATGTGTTTACAAATTTTATTTCCTTATTTACTACGCAACAATGAGTGGTCATGAATGATACAAACAAAGAAACGATATCTAATCAAATATCTTTCAAATCAACAAAGTTTACTTCTTACAAAAATAAAACAAAATTATAAAAGCAATGGAAAAACTTACCCTAAATTCGCTAGAATATTAGAAATACAATTAAAACTTTTCTAGGATAGGAACAACAAGGAATAAAACAGTGATGACTGCTCCCTGTGAATCGTAGAAATCTTTTGAAGCAAAATTGATTCAAAATGCGATATTAAAGTAGAACGAACAAAATGACTGAATCACCGTTCGTCATTCAACGCGAGTTTGACATGAATGATTCGTTTGATGCACAGAGCACCAACGACAGTTGTATTTATAGTTAACAGTAATGAATCATTAGGTAATTAAAAACTTACTAGGAAACTTCAGCACACCAGCATTATACTTATTCTAAACTTAAAATATTTATGAATTACAGTGTATCAATAAAATACAGTACAGTAAAAGTTTTCGTGGCTTAAAGATTTCGTAGCCATAAAATCTTCTAAAAAAAAACGTATTTCCGTACTGCTGTCAATGTCAGTGTCAATGTGTAAACAGTTAATGTCATGTACATGTGCTTATATTGCTTGTGCTAAATTATTTTATAAACATTAAAGCGAGAAAGGAACAATGAAACAGAATAATCAAGAAGAAAAGGTCAAGCAGCAGAAGTCCAAAAAAGACAAATTCAAGTTGTACAAACCTAAAAAGAAAAAAAGCAGTCAAGAAGATGCAGCTATTCAGTATTTGCAGGCTCAATATGATAAGGTACAATCATTGGATTATATTGGACTAACTTTACGTTTTTTTTATAATAAAGTATTAATTTATATATTTGTTGTAGATAAATCCAGATACAGTGAAAACATTTAAGGATTTTCCACTATCACAAAAAACGTTAAAAGGATTGAAAGATAACAATTTTGTTACACCAACAGAAATACAACGACAAGCCATCGGGTACGCTTTGCAAGGCAAAGATATTTTAGGTGCAGCTAAGACTGGCTCTGGTAAAACATTAGCGTTTTTAATACCAATCTTAGAAAATTTGTTTTGTAAGAAATGGACTCGGCTGGACGGAGTTGGTGCACTAGTTATTTCACCAACAAGAGAGTTAGCATACCAGATTTATGAAACATTAAGAAAAGTTGGTGGTTTGCATGATTTTTCAGCTGGTTTGATTATAGGTGGTCAAAATCTTAAGTTTGAGAGAAAAAGAATGGATCAAATTAATATTCTCATCTGTACACCCGGCAGACTGCTGCAACATATGGATGAAAACCCATTATTTGACTGTAGTCACCTTCAAATACTTGTATTAGATGAAGCTGATAGGTGCTTAGATATGGGATTTGAAACAACAATGAATGCAATTATAGAAAACTTACCAAAGGAAAGGCAAACACTATTATTCTCTGCGACACAAACTAAATCTGTAAAAGACTTGGCGAGACTCAGTTTATCCTTCCCTACCTATGTTGCTCCTCATGAACAAGCTGAAACTGTGACCCCAGAATCTCTACAACAAAGTTACATTGTCTGTGAGATTGATGAAAAAATAGGCATATTATGGTCATTCATTAGAAATCATTTAAAACAAAAGGTACTAGTTTTCATGGCCACTTGTAAACAAGTTAAATACACATATGATTTGTTTTGTAAATTAAGACCCGGTGTTAGCTTATTAGCTCTCTATGGTACGTTACATCAAGAAAAAAGAGAAAGAATTTACAATGAATTTTGCAGAAAATCAAATGTTGTTCTATTTGCTACTGATTTGGCATCCCGTGGCTTAGATTTTCCTCGTGTGAATTGGGTAATACAAATGGACTGTCCAGAAGATGTACAAACATATATACATAGAGCTGGAAGAACAGCAAGAGGTGTTTTTGGCAAAGGCGAAGGTCTTTTAATGCTTCTGCCACATGAGGAGAAAATTGTTGATGATTTAAAAAAGAGTAAAATTCCAATAAATAAAATAGCAGTAGACCCATCTAAAGTTGTAGCTCCTCAAAGAAAAATTGAGGGATTACTTTCAGATAATACTGATCTCAAACAAACTGCACAAAGAGCTTTTGTCAGTTATGTCAAATCAATATTTTTAATGAAAAACAAAGAAATATTTAATGTTCAACTTTTAGACACTGATGCTTATGCAAGATCATTAGGTTTGATAGTCCCTCCCAGAATAAGATTCTTACATAAAAACCTTAAAGGATATAATCCACCCAAAAAGGAATCTGACAATGAGGAAAATGAAGATGTTCTTGATAAATTAAAAGCAAAAGCTGAAAATGATGCTGGTACTGACCAAAGTTCTGATGAAATAGAAAAACCTATTCCACAAGAAAAGAAAAATAAAAAACTGACAAAAGAATTGCCGAAATTTGATTTCCACAATGATGCAGATAGTGAAGAGGATGAATTTCTACAAGTTAAAAAAGTTAATGTTGATATTAAACCACCAATAGAAGAAGAGGAACATAATATATCTAAGAAAAAAAAGAAACCATTAACCAAAGCTGCAGTCGCTAAAAAATTACTGAAAAAGAAAATCAAAGTAAACACACAAGTTAAATTCACAGAAGATGGTGAGGCTATAGATGATGAAAAGAAAGATGTTAAATCAGAATTAGCTAAACAGTTTATTAATGAAGATGTTGGTGGAATAGATATAGAGAAAGCAAGAGAGGTTTTAAAGGAAGAAGACAAGTTCGATAAAATAAGATTTAGAGAAAAAGTAAAAGCTAAACATAAAGAACAAAAACGTAAACTTAAAAACAAGAAAAAAGAAGAAGCAGAAGAACAAGATGACTTTGGATCACAATCTGAGTCTGATGGACCAGATTTGTCGTGGTTACCAGACCCTGACAAAATATATGGGAAAGATAGTGGAAGCGAGAAAGAAGATCACTCACATATAGAGGACAATAGTGGCTCAGATGAAGACATATACCACAGGTAAAATATTAAAAATATTACAAATTTTCTAAAGTGAATTCGTAGATGTAAAATGATGCACTCTAATTTTTCCTTTTGTTTTATTTTCAGGCCATTGAAACACAAACTAGTTGAGAGCAAAGGTATTCCACAAGATAGTGTGGCCCCTAGAAAGAAAAAGAAACTTAAAGATATTTCTGGTTCTTTATCTATTCAAGAAGCTGAAGCACTTGCAATGCGGTTATTGCAGTCACAGTAATTGTTTATGTATGCTAATCATAATCATTTATCTTAAAATAAATTAATGACAAATATAAAAACGTATTATTTTATTTTATCCCATCACTAGAGTATCCAAAGTTTTTTGGTTCTCAATATGATTAATAATTAAGATTAAATAATTATTTCGCCCACAACTAACCTCGTGAACAATAATATATTATCAAAGTACTAGATGGTATCATTTTCCTGTAGGAATTACGGGTACTCTATAGCTGGTTTATATTTAATGTAGGATTAAACAATATTGAGGCGCTAAATAAATCTGAATTAGAAATAAGTAAATTATTTTCTATTTCGAGAATTATTTCTTTTCAAGGAATACCTAGGTATTGTGTGTTATCTAGACTTTAAAAATACTTTGAAATGGCAACACTAACTTGGTGCTGTTTGACAGACAGAAAACGGATCGTTGCACTTTTATCGGTGAAACGCTAAAATTTGTACAATACCAAGTTTTCTATGGATCTAGAATAATTTAAATTGTACTTATTACTTTTAATTATGTTTTGGAGCGGTAACTTTATCGTTGTTAGAGAGTTAAACAATCTCCTTAAAGAGGAGGTGCGTATTATAATAAAGGAATTCATGGTTATGAATGGATGTACAAATAAGTTTGAATCGAAATATGGGTGTTGTGATAGTGTTTATTGCATGTTTATCATGTTTAAAAGTGTTGTTCGAATATGTAAATACGTGTTAGTGAAGTGTATATACATTTTGTAGCATTTTAAATGGACATTGTTTTGTTGTAGAATGTAACACTGAGTCAGGTGTTAGAGGCGGATGATATACTGCAGGAATGTAAGGCCGATAATAAGGCGCTGATGCTCTTGTAAGTCTATTTAAATATATTTATGACCTAACCTTTATGCTTCTACAAAGATTCTGGAATATGAGATTTGTATTTGAATTTGCATATTATTTTTAAAGGGAGTTTACAAATCAAATTACAAAATCAAATATGTAATTGTATCTTTAGACTACAGTTTTAAAATCGGTGAACATTTTTAATAAACTGCTGTGAAAATATTCAACTTCATTGACTGTACAAATACATTACTTTATTGATGTTCCAGTTTAACTAAATCAGAAATACTAGCAGAACTGGTAACACTGATCACAGAAGAGCCTCCCAAAAATGTAGACTTGGCATCCCAGTATCGCCATGCGCACATCGCAAGTGAGGTCCTCACCAGTCAGCTGATGATGCTGAGTGACCGTCTCTCAATGGATGCTGTGCAGATGAACAGGCTCTGTGACTTTGTAAACAAGGATCCACCATTAAATCCTTTACTTGCATCCTACTTCAGCAAAACTATAGAGATGTTGCTTGAGAAAAGTCCCAAACAGGTATTTTGTTTGCATAAATATGATAATAGTAACAGTTTCCCGCAACTCCATCTGTGCAATATTGACAAAAAAATTAACTAGTAGCCTATGTGTTCTTCCAGGATATGTTCTACATATATGCCAAACTTCAGATAGATCCATACAGCCGTTCCGAAGGTACCTTCAAACAAATATCCATCCATTCAAACATTCACATTTATAATATTAGTAATATGTTGAAAAGATTTTAATAATGATCTTAAGAGTTACTAACATTGTTATTTGTTTCAGGATTGGTACCTCTACCATATTGTGTGCCTCAGAGTTTTAGATTTTTTCAAATCAAGACGTGATTTCTTGCCAAATCTTTTACGACATATTTCTACATCAACTATTGCAGATATTTTCAAATACTTTATAAGGCTTGATGATCCATTTAATAAAATTATTTTGGAGGTAAGTGTAGCAGATGTAATACCACACAGTGTTCTAAGGGGTTCTAAGGTCTAGAGGGGGTAGCACAAATATATTTACGTGAAAATGTTATCATAATATCAGTGATAAAATCTGTAGTAATATTTGTGCAGCACCGGCAACAATTGTTTTGATGTCACTACTATTACATTCTTGTATTTTTTTGATATTTAAGTGGTTGGAAGAGAATCAATTTCTCGAGAGTCTAATACACATAGTCTGTGGTACATATGAACCTGAGGAAATAAGACCTGTCACTATGACCGATGGATCTGAGAGATCTCCGGAACAAACTGAAAAGGGCCAACAGGAAACCAGCGAGAAAGTGGAGATGAATCATAAAGATGAAGGACAAGAGAATGATGCTGCAAAAGGTATTCAATTTTATAAAACTTTAGCTATGTTTTCATCATATTTTTTAACTTGATTACTGTGAAATTATTTTGCACAATCACTGGTTTAAAACCAGCGTAAACAAGGTTAAAATTATATTGTTATCTCTTTAATGTGACAAGTGACAAGACAAATATAGTATAGTGAGTTATTTGACCAATGTTTATTCATAGGGTATATAATCAATTTCCCCTAGGGGTATATTAAATATTTGTTTTTATTAGGACAAAAAAAAAACAAATAGTTTCGATAAAAATTGAATCTTACTTTAGATACAAAGTTATCTGAAGAGGAATCCAGCATAAGCAAGAGACGTATAGCAGAGGCGGGGCGCGCGTCTGCCAACGCGGCGGCTCTGCTGTGTGACCTGCTGCTCGGCGCCTGCGCACCTCAGGGATCTATGGCCAAGTATGTTGCACAGTAGAATTGCACTGCACATATTAAAGAATTTTTTTTTTCTTGATTGTATTTGATCTGAGGAAACACGAAGAAAATACATATGAATAAGCCTGATATGTGTCATTCTTTCGTCCAGCTACATCTAAAATTATGTTGTGCTATGCACCAAGGACAATTACATGCCCGCTAAGTGGACTAAATACTAAATACCTGACTCCTCAGGCCGCTGACATCATGGACGTTGGTATCTCGTCTGCGGTCCGAGGAATGCGTGCGTCTGGTGCTGCAGTGCATGTTTACCTCGCCTGCTGCTGTGCGCCGGCACGCCGTCGTTAACGGCTGTCAGCTGCTGCTGGCCCTGTTGCCGCACGACTCGCTAGCGTGAGTATACACTGACTGACTGACTGATTGACCGACTGACTGACTGACTGACTGACTTATTGACCAACCGACTGACTATAACAAGACAATATAATAAATAGGCATAGTAATTCACCGTTACGTCAGATGAGTTTGTCTTCAGGAGTCCAATTCAGTCTGCCGAAGGAGAAAGAGGAAGGGAGGGGAAGTATTGGAAAGGGAAATATCCTTTACTGTCCCGGAAACCTTTCATATAAGACTAAAAATGTATTATTTACGGGTCCTTTAATTGACAATTCTAGTGGTAACGGCAACGGTGGTGGTGGTAGCGCGGGTGGAGGCGAGGGTACGTGGTCCAGCAGCAGCGTGCAGCGCGCGGTGGCCCCGCACCTACCGCTGCTGCACCAGGCCCTGCTGCGTCCGCCGCTGTCTGCACATCTGCACAACACCAGCAATAACAACTCGGTTAGTACTCTTAGCCTCAGTGCAGGTTTCTGAAATCAAAATCTATGTATAAAATATCGTCATTCCTGTATCTTTTGTAACACTGATATAATATGTTTTAAAGGGAGATTTTGGACTCGGAAACCTACGGTCAATATCACGTTGACTGTGGGTTTCCGAATAAACTTTTATAAATGAATACATCGAACTAATTAAAACTATCGCCTTAAGTTTGTTTGTTTGTATGTTTAGTATGAAATATATTTATTATTTTATATGAAAAAGTAAAGAAAAATAGGTAAAAATAATATTTTCATTCAACTTTATAATACTTTATAATTTTTTTAATGTTTTTATATTTAAATAGTGAACTAATCATTTTGATTTCATTGTCTTTTCTTTGTTAATTTTGCAATATTGTACAATTATTTAATAGAGTTTTCAAACTAATATAAAAATACAGATTGAAAATCCAAAGCCGAAAGAAGAGAATCCAGAAGATGGTATAGAAGAAGCGGAAGAAGAAGATAAAATGAACGAGCAGAGTAATGAAGAGAGTGTGGAGTACGTGAGTGCGCGGGTGTGCGAGGGTGTGGGCGCGGCGCGGGTGCACGTCGCCGCTCTCATCGCACAACTTGCATTCTCTGAAGTAGAAGATGTACATAATGCATTACTCACTCTAGGTCAGATTAAACTTATATCTTATCTTACTAATATTATAAAAGCGAATGCCTAGATGGATGGATGTTTGAAGCTCGAACTGAACGGATCTCGATTTAATTTGGAATATATATATGACATACTCCGGAATAACACATAGGCTTCTAATTATGTTTTTTTTTTAATTTCACGCTGTCGCAGTTCCAGACGACAGCTAAAAAAAAATCAAATTAAATCCAAAGTCTTAACAATAGACATATTTCGTTAAAAAGAAAAAAAATTAATAACAAATTATAAAAAATTATAACATTGGATTATAAATGGCCCGATTACTTACTCAATTGTATACTTTAATTTTGTATACTGTATACTTTAATGTATATTTTAATATTGTTATTCCAGGCACAGCGGGTGTGCTGATAGACATGTTCTTCCAGTACCCTCAGAACAACTTCCTGCACACACAAGTCTACATCCTCATACACAACGCTCTCTCCAACAGAGTCTACGGAGAGAGATATGCTAAACATGTTAGTATTATATTTATCTTTTTTTTTTCTTCATTTATATCGCCTTGACTACTTAACTAGGCATCTTATAAAATAGATATCTATATCTATATATATAAATAGAAATTTGTGTGTCTGTATGCAAAAAAAATATATGTCTTGTATGTGATGTCTTCGCTTTACCTATGTATATGTAAGAAATTTTCAAAATTTTTGTCTGTCTGTCCGTTTTGACGGGACTTTCATTGGAAGGTGCGAGAACAGTGTGGCCTGGCCTATATTTTTGTTTTTAACACTTTCACTGCTATTGACTTGCGTATGCTCAATAGTAGGTAAAAAGTCGCAGTGAAACGTGTTAATTCTGTGCTGACGAAGCCGCGGGCGAACGCTAGTTTGACAAACTAATATAATCATATATTGAATACCAAAGAAGTTATGTTAATAATTTTTAATTTACTGTTTTTTTCAGCTAATAGATGAATGCAATCTACTTACAAGATTAATGGACACGTTTGAAGAAAATGAAAACACAAAGTGAGTACTACATTTTTAACGTATACCATACATCGCATCAAGACAAAGCAAATTCGTTTAATCCGTGCTTGCGGTGCGTCCTTATCAGTATCTTACAATTTTAATTTATTTTCTCTTAGTTTCAACAATTTTTCAAATTTAGATGTTTCGTTTAGAAGAAATTGTACAATATACTTATCGCGCTAGTGGAAAAAGGGTCTTAAACACTGATCTCTATAGACATGAAGAAATGACAGCTTTTGATGCGTTCCCACTTAAATACACCTGTGGAAGTTCCTGACTGTTAAATCTATATCGATGATTAGTTAGAAACACCTTCAGCGTCAAAAAGGCGAGAATCAAATAGGAACAAAACAGCACAATTTATAGCCTGTTTATTTATAAATGTAAGATGTCTTATCCAGGACAGATCCTTTATACGTCTTTATGTATTGTTTTCGCTTGCTTAGAGCTGGTGCAGTGAGGCGGGGCAACATGGGTCACGTGGTGCTGGCGCTGCGGCGGCTGGAGGGTGCTACGCCCTCCGATGCCGCGGTGGCTGCGCGCTGGGCCGCCTTCCGCGAGACCACGCTCCGCCCCCTGCTGCAGCGACATGACACGCCCCTCGTTAGTACATATACATACAAAAATCTTTGTTACAAGTAATTGGGAGGGGAAATAAACCCCGCCCCAATTGAAAACTACCGTCACTTATTTGTGATGCATTTTTAATGTATAATAATTTCTTACAGGGTGGCTTCTATCCTTCAGAAAACATCTATGAGGTAAGCATCTGGTATTGATTTGGTATAGTGTAATTTAATTCTGACTTTGATGAATATATTTAACTTCATATGAATACTTGCAGTCGCCCGTCACTCTGTCTGCAGCGAATTATAAAAACTTAATTAGTAGCATATGCGTTCTTCCAGATATGTTCTTTTCAGCCGTTCTGGAGATACCTTCTAACATCCATCCATCCATCCATTAATCTATCCAAACCATTTATAATATTAGTAACATAATTTGATTTGCGTGTAGCCTATTTTCATCTCTTCTTAATATTTTTTTTCCAATGTAAACTATTTGTTTCAGTTTAACGAGGCGTCCAGTGTAAACGAAAATATAACAGCAGTTCAACTTGCTTGTGATAACGAGGTATGTTTTAAATCAAATAAAATTAACTTTTATTTGTTAATTTCCGGTTATACAATAGAACTTAAAAATGGCAAAATTTTAAGTTTTTTTTGTTTTCAGTCTCACGTAAAGAACTTCTTGGAGGTGGCCGGTCAACGTTTTGATGATGAGTAAGTATATTATTATCCATACAAAAATAGTTAGAGATTTCTGTTTTTATAAAGTTTGGATAGAATATCCGCCTCGGAGGACCTTGATGGAAGTTTTTCTATGTTTGTAGTATGTGGGAGGACACAGTGGAGGGCGAGGGTGAGGGGGAGGCGGATGCTGACAATGACAACGAGCAGGAGGGCGACGCCGATCCTGATCGCGTCAGGGAAATACTTGCTGATGTCTCCCGTAAGTATCCAAACTGTACTTAGTTGAAGTACAGTGTTTATTTTAATTAAAATAATAAAGTTAGCAAGTAAGTTTAAATGACTTGATAAATATCGCGATTATTTTTAGCATGGGACACAGCCGATGACAACGCGAGCGATGGCACTGAGTGGGCAAATTTTGGCGACGTTTTCGCACCTCCAATTGATCCGTTCGCTCCTGTGGGAGATACCTCGCCCTCGCAACACCAGCATGCATTCGAGCAACAAGATTTTACACCATTTTGGCATTATAATGATAGTCACAAACACTCAGGTGAGTAACGTTTGCCTTTTGGTCTTAGAAACGCACTCGGTACATTTCATCTTAAAACTTTATGTTTTATGACTTGTTTAAATATTTTGCAGATGCGAACTGTCAGAGTGGTTTGGATCAATCTCTGCAAGCTCTGAGTTTAGGCGGCGATTATAAAGTGAAGCCGATGGATGATGCGTCGACCGCCGAGTTGACCAACAATCTGCTGACGGCCATGAGCTCGATGACACCCGATGTTATAGCGGACATTGTTAGCGCGATGCCGCAGCCTGATGAACCTCTGGATGCTGGATTAGTGGCACCACTTGAGCTGGTCCAGCCTATGCCTGAGCCGAGCGCCGAGCAGAACACCGAGGCGAACACCGAGCAGAGCACTGAGCAGAGCCCCGAGCAGAGCGGAGAGGAGCCGTCAGCCGACAGGTGATTGTATATGATGGGCTGGCGCCAAACCGCGCGCTACCTTCAGCGGTGCGACGATTGCGGACTAATTTGGGACGCCAACAGGTTTTAAATACTTACCACAAGTCTTACACCATTTTTATAATACAATATACATGTTCTTACATTTTTTTATTATATGTCAGTTGTTTAATCGACTTTTCATCTGTTGTATGCAGAATTCACTAATGTTTCTCGATCTGTTCCTAATACGTACAAAAGTCATTTTATAAAAGGACCAATGGATATAGAATCATTTGAGGTTAATTACCCTTTTTTATACAGAATGTCATTGCGACGTTTACAACTTTGATTGTGAGTTTCTGATACCTAAATTTCTGTATAAAACATATCTTCATCCCTGTCTTACATCTTTGACAAAACAGAGATAACAGTATCTTTTAAACGGGGATTTTAGTCTCAGAAACTCACGGTAAATCGCAAATATTATAACTGATCTGAATTTATATAGAATAAACTAAGTGCATTAATTTGGCAATTATATAAGTTCATTCGTAATTAAAATAAACAGTTTCAGATAGATCGTTTTTAATACGTAATTGATGATAAATAGGGTAAACGTCCCAGTGATAGGACACCATAATTTCATCGCTATTTCATCATGAACTGTCTGTCTGACACCAATTTGTGTGTGATAAAGAACAAAGTTATTTAAGTCGATGTGAGCTTAATTATTAAATGTATATGTTTAACACGACGTCTCATCCGTCATTTGCAATTTTTACTAAATCCATTTTTTCTATTTTAAGTTATTCGTTTTGCTTTATGCACAAAAAAAGGATAAATGCAATTTGAAAGCTAACAAAATGTAACTTTAATTCGCGAACTTACCGTTTAATATTTTAAGGGCATGAAATTCAACAAATGCTTTCGTTTTATTTCAGCAAATAACAGTTGGTTTTTAATATCCGAATTGTAATAGTTAACTTGTTTTTCAATTAATTTGAAATATTTATTCATTCTTCCATTAAATATTTAAAATATACTTATTGTAGTTAGCTAATGTATGTATAAAACACATATAAATATAGTTAAAACTAAAATATTGATTGGATGTTATAACCAAAAGGCAAATGTCAGACTACAGAAGTCTTAACATTGCTAAAGTTTGCTAAGCTTCAAAAATAAGGAAAATCAATTAAGTAGTAGTTTCGCAAGACTCAAAACGTAGACTAATAAAAGTAATGCGTCTACTTTGTGAGAGTTTAGCTTGTGAAATGAAAATTTGTACAAAATTAGAGCATTTTTGCTTTTATTACTTAAAAAATACAGGATATTTTAAATGTTGAATAAATCAATATGATTTGCAAATTATAGCAAATCTTGTATTGATCGATATTATAAAATTCTGTGATGTTATTGTGCAACGCATGTGTTAGTAAATCAATGAACTAGCTTCAATTATAAACGTTAAGGTGTGCACTCTATGTCTAGATTAGATTTCAGATCAAATTCATGTTTGATTTAGAAAGTAACTATTTAATTGCATGGTACTGTCTGCAAGATATGTGTTCCGTAAAAGCTTTAGGGTGAGGGGAGAGTGATAAAGCTTAAGGTAAGGGGTTTGTTAGTTATCACATTATATTCTAAATCCCATTCAGACTAAATATTCTTTGAAGAAAGACAATAATTTCGTTTATCTCCGCGTTAGATAAAATCGCAATATACTTTTGTAATCTAGAATCTGGATATTAAAAGTCTAGGGAACACAAAATTAGTAGACTTTTATTTAGGTATATCTCATTGTAGAGTGTGTCTCCTGTGTAGAATAATATGTTAAATCCGTATTTAGTGTTGTTCTCGTGTTCAATTCCTATTTCAATTATCATTGTTTGTTGTATATAATAAATATGTATTGTCTACAATTGTTCGTAATTAGCATAGTCTCAATATATAGCCTTCAATAACTTATAATTTCTAATTAAGTTCCACGCCAATGTACTTTAAGGTTTACTGCAAAATGCATATTACAATGTATGGGACCTAAGTGAGTCCCTTGCGGGATACTGTTTGAGATCTTGATGAATTTCTTAAATATGAATAGTATAAACGCAACTATTATGTAGAATTAAGCGTAGAAAACCAACAGAGACATGATCTGTTCGAGTTTTTGTTTTCTTTGCTTAATTCGTAAATCGATATTGTGATAGACTCTATCAAAAGCTGTAGAAAAATCGCTGATTGTGTTATAGACAATTTACGCCTTTTTAACTAGAGACATAACATGTAAGTCTCGTGTACTATTTGATTATATTCCGTCAATATTTCCCCTCAATATTCATATCTTTCTGAATATATCACAAGACATATCTAGGGAAGATCGGCCACGTCTCTCGGTACATATTTTTTTAATATCATTAATATGTTTGATTGAGTTTCATGTGGATAATAAAAAAAGTTTGAATGTGTTCAAGATTGTTAAAAGCTCATTTGACTTCTAGTTCAGTTTTATTCAAATTTATTTTTGCTTTAATTTTGTACACTTAACTTAAATTGCTTACTTGTCTTGAGGCTAGTCTTAACAATATGACTTTAGCCAATTTCCAATATATGCCATAATCCCATTCCTTTTCATATTTGAACCAATTAAACCAAATTAATGTGCAAAGCGAAGCGACTGTATCTTTTTACTTTAATAGAGAATCCGTACTTCTTAGTTTTTGAAAGCGAAGGAAAGTTATTTCATGCAATGATTACAGTTTATTTACTTGTAATATCATTATCATGAGGATGTTTCTGAAATTGTATTTAAGAATCACACGGATGAAATGTTTTATCATGACTGATCATATTATGGCTTCATATCATTTCTTGAAAACTTAAATCGTTTTAGCTTCTTTTATTTAAATATTTTCTTAAATCCAGACTTTTAGTGTATTTGCTGATATATGCGTTAAGTTAGTTTCAATATAAGTTTGATGTAAATCGTCACTTACTAACCGTGGCATACATGAAGATAACATGTTTCTTATGTTTATACAATGTGAACTCGCAGTTAAATTTAGCTGTTAATGTTTGTAACTAGCTGTGATTAGCGAAATGTGACGAGGCACTGCGATGTGACACATACCAGTTCAATTTGCTTCAAGTCATTCGTAATTGTATTGAAAAGGGATTCAAGTAAAACAGTTATAGAGCGCGCATTTAAAACATTGTTATTTCAAATATACGGACGTGGCAAACAAGACTTGTTATTGGTAACTAGTCGTAGCCATAAACTTATATAAAACTGGCTAAAACAATTACGTATATTCGTCCGGTGACGGCACCGACTAGTTTCGAGCCCATCGGGGCCCCTTCATTAGGGCGAGTGGGACTGTTATAATTTCGCGGACGCGGCCCGTCTTTCAATAATGTCGATGGGCTCAAAACTAGTCGGTGCCGCCACCGGACAAATATATACGTAAGTGTTTTAGCTGTTTTTATATAAGTTGTCTAAAAGATGTCTGCTTATAATGTGTTCACATTGCCAGTTGCCCTAGAAAGGTGCTAAAGCGCTGTGTATCGCTTGTGAGCGATTGTACATAGTAGGCGCATTGGGACATTATGTTGTCCGGCACTGTGTGCGTTGTAAATATTTCATTATGTAGTATATTATATCTCATATTCATATTATGTAATCATATATCGATCGTTATGTAACAAAATGCAGTTTAACAATTAATGCAATATTATTGTTTGGTGCGACTGCACAAATAGATTATTTTTTAATGTTGTCATTAATGTAAAATAATTTAACATTTCAGACGTATAGGAGTATGATACGTTTGTAGAGACGATGTTGATATACACTCGACAGTATTTGTAGCAAACGTCTCATAGAACTTGAGGTAAACGTCTTGTAGAAGCTAGTATTAAAAATTGTTAAATTAATTTGGACAGTGAAATCTATCCAGCGTAATTGCCTTTGATCTTGCTGGCACATGAAGTAATCAGTAGGTGAAGGTCATTTGAGGTTATTTTCCATTAACTTTGAGTCTGGTACCGAGTAATTAATGGACTGTTAACCGTCCGATTATTGCACAAGGTTTAAAATTTGCCTGATAATCGGTATGGAATTTTATAATGATATAAAAATGGATTTTTCGATGTTTAGTAATTTTGTTAGCGAATGTTATCGAAGTCTGTAATAGTAATGTGACTTTGATGGTATCGTACAAGAAGTTTACATTTGTATATAATAATGTGATATAGGTTTTCTGATCGATCCTCAGACGATTGCGCCGTCCTTGACGTTTTGTATCGCCTTAGCAGTGAAACACGTGCGGTGCGGTTGTGAGACCAAACGGCATTATTGGTAAAATCAATAGTAAATTAAAGGTATTGGAGCAACTGCAAAAGTTTTCCTTCTATTTAAAAAAAAGCAAGTGCTTTTTATTCTAATAGATAGTTTAATGGAACCTTTAAGCTTCTCAGAGAATTTATGTTTTATTTTTATTTTTTGTATTATTTGCGTTGAAGTACAGCATGAAGGACCCAGAGTGTTTTACTCGTTTCTTTTACTAACACGATAGCATTAACGTGTTTATATCAGTATGAAATGAAAAAGGAGTGGGGGAGACCTTTTTGATTTAAATTAGTCAAAAATTAACAATTGCTGTTTTTTCAGTGTGTACTCACATCCGCGCCGTTACGTTTCGCCTTAGGCTAGAACTGGCCGTAGATTAAACAATACAGTAACTAGGTGTTACGCTATTCCTATTTTTTGTATACTTACCCACGGCCTTACACTTAAAGCCGACGCTAAATATAATCGGGACATATTTTATATGTAATGTGGAACACTGACCTCTATAGATATGGACAGGTCAAATGACATCTATTGCACCGTTCTGACTAAAAGCCGCCTCCTAAACACTACCGTCAGATAAAAGAAAGTCAAGACACAAAATAGCTCGGCATGTAACCAGTCCATGTATAGAGGTCAGTAATGTGGACATTTTGTAAACATATTGCTGCAATGAATCACATTGTAATGCGTACAAAAAGTTGTCCCAACGATTTTATAATTTTATTTGATAAATGTCGTGTCTAGAGAATGAATTAGAACGGAACTGAATGCTTAGTAAATGATCTGATTTGGTTTCTGCGATCTGCTTTAAAGCGATTTTAGATCAATGGATTAGTTATAGCTTCCAACGGCTAATGTCATTCAGACATTCATTCCGTTCCAAAAATGGCGGAAATACATTAAACTTGTTTTATATAAATGTCACGAGTAAATGACTTGTGACAAGTTTTTAATGATTTTTTTTATGCTATGACTCGAATCATCGTCAATCGACCTGGCGTGTCACTAGAATTTGTAAGTTGATTCGCTTTAAAAAATATCTTTCCGCCATAAAGGCACGTTCACAATAAAAGCGCAACTACAGCGTGGCTTGCAATGTAATCGACAAAATAACTATGAAACATTTGGAGATAACATCATTGACAGTTTGTGAAATTATTGTGAATGAGTCTTAATTGTATATAAGTAGCGACACGGCAGATTAGTGACGGAGATGATCCGTTAACGAGAACTGTGCCTTCCGGGCGTCGTCGATGCAGCACAACCTTAAATATTCCCCCATATTAGGGATAACTTCTTTAATTTACTTCTATTGCCCCCATTCACCTGTTCACCGTTGCAACCGACGCGCCCGAGACATAATAAATGCTCGTATGTAATGTATTCAATTGTATTTATTATATCAATAGTTAAAAAGTTTTATTAAAAAAGTTGCTCAATAAACTTGTGTTTCTATTTACAATATCTCCAGATAACAAATTGCTTAATCCTATGTGGTTTTAAATAAAAGTCGTTAAGTTTTTCGATATAGTTTTATTATTATATTTTTATAATTTATTTATATATAATGACTATAATCAACTACGTAACTAAATAATATATGTTTAACAGCATCTTTATATACAATATGTATAAGAGTAGCTCTTTATATTTCCTCGCTTTTCAATCATTAAGAAAGAGACCATCAATCCGTACAAAGTAATTTTGAAAGAAACTACGGTCGATGTTTACCAAGTAATAATTTGCCACAAGTTTTGTTTATTTACAGACCTTATATTAATTTAGTCCCATAATTTCCAAAATAACTGGCGCGTAGGGAAGAATGCGACACTTTGTAATAATTAGAAGACACGAAATGAGAATCTAGACGAAATAACATTTGATTTGCACTCCAAAATGGCGTTAGCATGAGTTTACCCATTACCGAACAATTGAATGAAAACGTATAATATTTTCAAAGGGCATGGCATTTTAATCTGCGACGGTTACACTTATAGGATGTCACTTTGTCTATACCCCTGACAACGAATAACTATAAACAGAAATGCTAAGTTTATCTGCTATTGTAGAAACTTGAGACACCTAAAGCATAGTGTTTTTTGGCTTACTCTATAGACTTGGAGATGTACAAAAATAAGCACAAATATCGCCCATAAAGTCAAAAGTAAATTAAGTTTGTTGCAAATTTTATGTAAATAATTTATTTATGACAAAAAAACTATATAATCTGTAATAATACAGCGAGATGTCTCTGATAAATTTTATAAACAAAATCTTTTATAAATATCTCAATCAATAACACCTACTTGTCATGGAAGTCTAGATAACCCTAGCGATCTGTACAGCATGGAACAATTCTTTATGCAATGATTTTGCTCAGGACAAAAATAACTTCACATGAACTCCTTACAGTTACTAGTAAACGATGCCGACTATTAACCACGTTTTTGGGTTTTGGACGACGGTTTGAACAGTTTTGTTATAAACATGGTATCGAGTCCGTTTATTCTTCTATAGGTTACCTAAGACCAAACATTTAAACTTGTGAGTGGCCTGTATTTTGTTGACGGTTGTGTTGTTTTTGTCCTGAGTACTTACAGATAGTCTACAATATAGACAGAAATAAATCCTAAGTAGATCTTAAAAGCTTTAGGTAGAAAAGTCAAGCACCGTCTAGAAACTACGACGGGTTTCTACGACCATCGCACTAAATAGGTTCAATATATTACACTGATATGCGACCAGATATAACACGGTGCATCTCTACAACGGCGTGCGCGCGCTATCAACTGTCAAAATATACACCTAGAAATAATTTGGAATATTTTTTCGAGCGCTAATTTATCTAAAGATCCATAAGAAAATATTGTTTCTACTAAAGACTGTAAGAGGCATACCGGTATTGTAAGAAAATAATATAATTTCAATCTATCTACGTAGACAGACGCTAAATTGGAACATCACGAGTTTCAAATTCATACGTTTCACAATTATATTCCTGACAATAGTAACACTCCGTTGACTAACATTCTTAACTAAATAAACTTTACAACTAGAATATATTATCAATTAAAAACAAACGTAGCATAATATTTTTTAATAATACAGTTATTTTTTTTAAAGAATACGCTTATATAAATGAGGTTATATTAGGTTCACCGTAAGATGTAACATTATAAAAATATGAATATTAAAGAACAAACTATATGGTAGATATTTAAACAGTATTAATTATAACCTAAGAAAAATATTAAAAATAATAATTTGACATCTATTTTTAATGGTCTGTTTCTCCTTCCAGTGACCGACAGAGAAAGTAAGACATAAAATCTAACCTAAAAATGGAATATACACAAGGCCATCTTAAATAAAAGAAGCAAAAATAGTCGTATATTTTGTTTAAAGATATAATTTTTCTAATTGTTTAAATTCTTTTCAAAGACAACGTATAGAGAAGCGAGAAGCAACACAGGGTTACCAGTAATAAGTGGCCTACATAAAAATTGTTAATAAAAATGTTTATTGCCATACGATACACCGATTTTCACTACAGTACTTAAACATAACGTAGATGAAACTCACTGTATACTGTTTTCTTACTAAATTGCTTTGTACTTATTTACAGATATTTGTAACGAAAATCATATGAATTAACAATAGGTCTGCCAACTCTTCGAATTTAACCCCAATCCTTAGTAGTAGCATGGCCATTTAAGTCAGCCCAAAGCCCCTAGGTCTTAAACAAAAAGTTCCTAGCTCGTGAGTGTTTGATAAGTGTAAAAAAGTCATGTTTTTATGGAAGAAGATGAACCGTGGCTGGATTGTAGACATGCCTTCGGTTCAGTTTGTCAGCGTTTATTACGTTGTCTATGTTTACGAAAATTGGCAACCCTACTTAGCATTTATTCTTGAACATCAGAAACATTAAACAAGCTATTGTCTGAATTTATTTATAACGAACATACAATAACATATTCATAAATATTTTTTATTATACACAGAGAGTTTCTCTACAAACTTATTATTAACCAGCGATATATATAGTGCAATTATTTTTATTTATAGTTTATAGTATATTAATAGTTATCGCTTTATTTTATTTTGTATTTTAACTAGCAACACCGACACGACACAAATTGGTCTGGTCTGCGTCGGGCGCCGGCTGGCTCCCGCGCTTGTATTGCTCTCGTTATGTGCAAAAAGCACCGGAACCCTACATTATTATTCATAATTAAAATACTAATTAAATATAACGTGTCTCTACTAACAAATGCTCTGAAGAAAAATATAATGCCAGTTATCATAGACAAAGTACCACAATGTAGAAAGAATTTACGATTTCCAAACGAAAAGAGAAGAGATAGAATGAAAAAAGGAAACGTCGTGGCACGAAAGAAATTTGCAGAGTAACAAAAATTATTGTCATCCAATGCTTAAATTTCCAATCTTTATAGTATTTTTTTAAATATTTATTTTTATTAACTTATCACATTATACAGTTCAACAACTATCTTTAATTTATTAAACTTTATCGTTACGATCGTATCTATAAAAATGTACACTACGCGTCCCAGGTAATGTTTGTAGCAACAATATACTCAACCGTTTTCTCAGCTTTTAAAATAAATCTCTGTTTCTGAACGTAAACAACTGTCAACGTTTTAAAAATAGAACGCGATTTAGACAAATATTTATTTAAATAAAGAATTACTTAAAAAAACGTAACCGAGATTGCTGATGTGTTTTAGAAGTAAAAAAGATAAAGTTTATGTTAATTAATGTTTTTTTTATATACATTATCACATCTCAAGAATGCAGAAAGCTTTGTTCAAAACAAGTGACATACGTATCCGATAATTTCCGTATAATTAAAAAAAATATTTCTGATTTATCATATGATTTTTACTTTAATTAATTAAGAGACAAAATCAGTAATGAAATGACCAAACGTGCGCGCTTGCTCTTAGAATAATCTACATCTGTTCGAACTAAAAACAAACTTGTGCGTAACTCCGAAACGCTGTCGAAATTTCGTCTGTCGCCTGTCCTAAGCTCTTCTTATTCGAAAACTTGCTTACGTGTTAGAATATGAAAATTGTGCTCCTTCCCTCAGTTAATTTTAATCATCTACCAAAATTTTTTTTGAAATGTATTTTTATCGTGTACCTTAATTTTATTACTACCTTAATTGTTCTTAAAAGTCCATTGAGAGTACTATTTAGAATTTATAGGGAAGTTATGTCATCATGTGCATCAGACATCAATGGGTACTCCGCACTTGTAGATTATGAGAGACTGATTTGTACATAACGCCATCTGTGATGGACCGGAGCGACAACACACGTTCCCGTAGCGAGTAATTCGTGTCACGAGCTTCACAAAGTCCCGTCCCCTAGGAGAATAGAAAAGATGAGGTGCGGGGCTCACAGCTGGTACCACTTCTTGTCCTTGTATTTGAGCATGAGCTGATGCGCGGAGGAGGAGAACTCCGCGGCCTGGGAGTGCATGCGCTCGGTGCGGTCCTCCAGCTGGGACAGCTTGTCGCCGCGCTCGAGCACCAGCTGGTGCGCGCGAGACACCTCGCTGGCGGCGGCGGTGGCACGTGCCCCCAGCTCCGCAGTGCCCGCGCCACCCGGGATGTGCTTCGCTACCGCACGGTTGGGCTTCCCGCTGCTTTCACCGACTGCATACCCATAAATAAATATCACGCATGGAAATTGTAAGACAGGCAATGCTTAAAGCTACAATTCTTCCAATTGGAATCATCCTCGCATCTATAATCACCAAATATCTACGTTTACCTCCACATTACGGTAACATTTTTTCTTATAGTATGAAAAATTTCTTTAGATTTGTGGGATTACTTACATAGCTCCTCCCTGTCAAGCGGCCGCGCGCCGCCTCCGAACAGTCCTCTAAAGAATCCCTCTTTGGGTGCCTCCGGCATGTCCCTCGGGAGGAACAGCTCCCCGAGCATCTCATTTATTTGATGGCTACAAAACCAAAGTTAAAAAACCATTAATTTTTGGTGACAATATTCTAAAAATAATAATTTCCCGTTTTTTTTACAAATGTGACTATGACTGACCAGAATTCTGTATCAATGGTAAACTTCTGTATCTCGGTGGGTGAGGCGAGGTACAGCCCGTGACCTCGGTTGCTGAAGCAGAACGTCTTCGCTATCCTGCACATATCACAATTATTCTATGTAGTTGCCAAGACGAGTCAAATCAAACATTTAGTTTGTAGTTAGCTAACAACATTGTTGAGAAATCGAAGTTGCAAATAAGCATTACTGGATTAATCCTGTAGTTATTTGAATCGATGTTTAAAAATATAGTTCAACTGTTGATTACGTCAAAACGTAAAACTTTTCCATCAACACAGTGCTAAGATAATGCAGGCTGTCTTGTCTGTGTAGTCATGATGAATCAAGTTAGCGAATAATGTATTAGTAATTTCAATTAATTGGTTTTAAGAATGAAGAGATTAGGCTTAATATATAGGATAAATATTCTCACCTTAACTCCAGGTCCTTATGATGATACCTATTTGATATAAAATCTACAGAAGCGAAGCATATCGGACTGTACAATAGATGAAGTAAAGCATAATGGAAGATACAAAAGTACCGTCAGCTTTCATGCTCTTGTTGAAAAAATAAAAAGATTTATAGCAGCAAATAGACGAGAAAGAGAGAGAAAGAGAAGATAATAAATCAATAAGAGAAAAGAGACAAACGTATATATGAAAGCAGACGAGAGCAGTGTAGGTGTGAGAGTGTTTTGTCGAGGACTTTGTGGATAGTGTCGTGTAGAGGAGTCGCGCTAGGGGATGGTACTGAGGCTCAAAGCGAATCGCAAGCGGGGACTCGGACTACATGCGGTCTGATTGAATTTTTGCCATTTGTACATATTTTAGTATATTTTTCTAGTAACTTGGTATTGGAAAGTTCGATCAAACATTCATCCAGACCACGGTTAAAGTGTAAACGTAACATAGGAGTTAAGGGATGACATGAACAGCTAACAGTTTGAACAAAGGATCGCAAGAGGGCGTGTGGGCGGGGCCACGGGGCGGTGAGGCGGGGACTAACGCAGCGCGGCCGCTACCGTCACTTACTGGTCTGTGTCCTCGTTAACAATGAGTTGCTGGCCCCAGATCGAGAGCATTGGGTCTACGATACCCCTCTGTTTGGACTGTGTCTGGAAGCTACCGGGAACACGGGTGGACAGTCAGTATACGTCACTGCGTGCGCTGCCCCAGAGCTCCTAACCCGTCACAGCCAGGGGACAGGGGCAGCGCGCGCGGCCGCGTTCCGGATGATACAATACAGGTGTTATCGTCACGATCCGCGACTTAAACTGTTACATACTAACAAAGGATACCTGGGACACATTCGATGAGTTCAATGGTCGTTAGGTATCGTGGAACACCAACTCAGCGCCGTAGGGCGGTTGAGATCGGAATGACAACGCTTACAGTGTTAGGTTATTACATTACATTTGTTGTGTTAGTATCATGTTCAGAGTCCGCTTAGTTATTAACTTAAAAATAGATTAAAAATTGCAAATATCGGAAGCACAGGTGGTGCTCGACAGTTGGCAGAATTTTGACTACGTTGTGAGAGAAGTGGCGCCACTGTTGCGCGGTGCTGTTGATTTCAAAGAAAAGATAACACCGCCGCTTGTTTGGAGCAAAATCGGATCTCGTGCTTTGAGTTAAAATTCAGGTTAGATGTAAAGTGGTAGAACACTGCGACAGCTCCAGAGTCGACAAATTTTACGAGAAATTGTATCACATAAAACATCAGTGTTTGTGGCGTAAAGATCACAAAAGATGAAGTTAAAGACGCGAGTAAAGGTGAACGGAAAACAATTTGTCGACTCCGGAGTTTGCAACAGGTCGGGTCTAGTCTTGCACCAAACAAGTCTCATATGATCTAACATCGATCGTAAGTCATAGTAGATACGTCGAGGCTTGTAAATGATAAAACAGCAGATGGTTTTAAATCGATTTCATCGAGCAAATGACTGATGAGTGACAGATCATTATGAATAAAATCTGCATTAAAGCATTCGTAATTATCAAAGCTAATTCGAATGTAAAAACAAGCTCTTTATCATTTAGTGCCTTATTTTAGTGCATGGAAATTGTCTAAAAGTGACTGGTGTTCACCGGACATGTCTAACGAGGAACTCGACACCGACTTTACATCCAAGACGATTCGGAAAGAACGTCCACCGTATCGCACTTCCATGGAAACCAGGGTACTGTCTCTCTCGAATTATCTTTTGATATCTGGCGCGTCATAAAAGTTTAAGCCCAAGTATGAAATAGTATCGAAATATTACTTTATGTTAGTCGAGTGAGAGTTTAAAAAACATAAAGCTTTGCTGAACTAGACTATGAAGCATAGGCGAAGTTAGATGTTCTAAAATTTCTAGGTGAAGCATTTCACCGACTCGACCAGATAGTGAACGATATTTCGAAGAGACAAGAGAAATTAATCAAACGTATATCATTCAGAATTTATTTTATAAATTAATTAAGTGCTTGATATGGTCGCAAGCCTTTCGGGATTGTTATGGTCATATACAAAAATTTTCGCAGATATTTAAAGTTCATGAGGAGCGGATTAACATTCTTAAAACATTGGTTTCCATGGAAGGGTAAAGATAAAGATTAGTTAAGGGATAGCTATCGTTATTGTACCTGAGTTCGGAGAGAGGTAGAAAGTCGACGTCGACAAGCGGCCGCAAAGATGGCAGGCTGTACGCCACCAGGTGACCCGTCGAAAGGTAATTAACCAAGCACACGCTGTCTGAAATTTATTGAATCCATATTAAAATAATTATTTACTAAAAGCTGGCATATCCTCAACCTGTTAAGTTTCCTCCTTATGAATCAAAATACCTTTAAGGCTGACTGTTTCTGATTTAACAACGAAGTCTGTCTCGACAATCTGCTGTCGATAGACACAGTTCTGGCTGGGCAGAGCGATGACGCGCGCCTGCTTCTCGGAGGCTACCACAACGAATTGGCGGTCGCCATCGCCGGAGCTCCCGGCGCCCGGTGTTGGGCTTGTACGGCTTGCGCTTGACCCTTGCTTAGTGGGCGTCCGCTCGCGACGACTATCACGATTCTAAAAACACGTATAAAATTAGCTTAAAAAAAATCATTCTCACACAATACGTCACCGAAAAAGATAGATTAATGATTTGAATTTTGTATATCCTGGATTTATATTACCTCTTTACTGTCGTCCTTCCAACTCTCGTATGAATAAGGTATTAAAGCACCATTACAGTCGAGGAAAGACATCGTTAAAATTGAACCCTTTAGCCTTAGTATAGGTCCTCCTGCAAATGAAAAAGACGGAGTGATTACAAAAAAAAAGATTTACGTTTTTATAAAATGTTTTAGTAGTTTAAGTAAAAAAATAAACCTGTGGTGGAGATGAGGACTGGCTGTGTGTAGCGCAGGTCGGCCTCGGGCAGGCTGATCATCATGGTGAGTACTGAGCCCAGCGACGTGCCGATCCACAACGTCGGCACCAGTCCCGTTGGGTCTGCCAAGTTGACATTGAAGCAATAGGTCCAATTAGTGAATTGAAAACAAACAATAGGTTTTGAAGCTTAAAATACCTAATAAGCGGAGAAAATATTAGTCAACAAAAAACAAAAACTATATGACCTACACTTATAACGTGAATCTCGTGATTTTATAATATTTAAATTCATCTTCAGGTGTGGAAAAATGACTATTTCATTCTTTAAAAAAGTGGAATCTAGCGGCCACTCTTGGCATCCGTAAAGTATCCAGCTCGAAGGACTACAAACTAAACACTGTCGGCATAAAATTGTTTTTAAATATACTTGCCTGATTTCTTGGTGTAGCTGTCAGCGAATGCAAGGCATTGTATGCCCTCCTGCGAGATGTTCTCCAAGCTGGACATGCTGCTGGAGCGCGACCGCGAGAACGAGCTATCCAGCTTGTCTACGCGGCCCGTAGACAACAGAACCAACAGATTATCCACCCGTAGTGGAAACAGCGCAGACCCCAAAGACCATAGACCACTAGTGCTCTATGGTCTTTGGACAAATGCTATCATACTGGCTGATTAGATATCAAAAAAATATTTTAAGCTCTATGGTATGCGACATTTAATCTGTAACAAATGCTAGACAAGTATTATTGTTTACGTTATGTAAATTCTTTCTTTTGATCCTTGAGGTAGATTAAATGAATCGCAAGGAGTTGACAGCTTCAGTTTGAATAAAAAGCTAATAAAAGACTTTAAACAAGTAATTTTTTAAAAAGCGACATTTTGATAGCGATATAAAGATCAGCCCGTATCATAGACAACAATAACTACGTAGCTGCAGGCGACAACTAGCGTATATAATCTGTGCTGTGTAAGTAGCTGGAGTCACCGTCTGGTGCTGCATACTCTGTGCTCACGCCACAAGAGATCAGGAGAAGTCATGCTAAAAGGTCTGGATTGCATGCCCGTCCAATCTCTGATTATTTACACAACTCGTTAATGCGTTTGTACACCCAGTTAGTTAGGCTGTTTGTCGCAATGTTACAAGAAGAAGTTAAAATAATACGAATCACAATATTTAAAAGATAGATTAACACTTATTACAATTCTAAAAGGTATGGATAGAGCGAATGAATGCGTAGCTTAACATAAACAGATGTTGGTAGTTTAAAGAAATACGAAATGGTGATGAAGATGGGGTTAAATGGGGGCGCAAGCTGGGCCCTTCTGCAGTCGGTGATTTTCCGCATTCTCCAGCGCAAACAGCTCCGAGCGAGTCTACACGAGCCCTCGCTGTAACACTCCACGTCTCTAGTACGAAGCAGTCGTATGGACGGACAAACAAGTTCAATGCAAAATATATAACATCTATTCAGGAGCGGTGCAAACGTTCATTATGCGCATGCGACTAGTGCTCATTTAATAAATATAGTACCGGAAGCATACATAGACATAACGACAGCCGTATATAGAGGCAGCCAAAAACGAGCCATATAAACTTTTTGCTTTGTGGTCGGGCTAGAAAAAAAAAATTACATTATGTTCTCAACAAATCTCATACAATATGAACTAACAAAACTAATTATCAAATTGAGCTTGAATTCTGTGCTCCTTTTTTCAATAAAAAATATTAATTTATTAAAAAGTTACAAATACTTTGCAGATAAAGGCAAAAAAACAAAAATGTGACCGATTGTGACGATAACTTTAAAACTTTTTATCTCCATTAGAATATTGAAAAAGAATTAATAAGGAAAAAATGTAGAGATCGCGTGTCTGATACAATATGGAAAGCCTCGCTGTAAATGCACACAGAACATACAAAGTCCGTTCATCGTAACACTGACATTGTGATAGATTGTACAAATAAATATAGTTTTGAGTAGTAAGTCACCTTTAAATCTTATAATCTAAAAATCATGCCGGAGTATCGTCTTAAAGTGCAAATAACTTGCATAAAGTGCTGTATAGAGGTTACACGAGACAGTCACAGCCACAATTTCAATTCTAAAATACAAATAAACAAGCTACGGGTGCCCGGGAAGCCACCAAATGAACATCAAAGAAATATATTTAAAGGAAGAAAAAAAAATCAATGCAAATGTTGTTTGGATACCATTGGGTTGCATTATGTGTAAGTACTCCATAGATGCGAGAGTCTGCGGAATAGTTGGTTCTGTATCAACAAATAAAACCACAAACGTTACAAGCGGGTCCGAGGACGCTAGCCGGATAGGTAGCAATTCGCAGTCCAGTGCCAAGCCAGTATTTGGAAATAAAAAAATTCCCACGTAAATGTCTTTAAAAAGGCCTACGTATTAATAGATACGGATGAAAACCTACATGTACATAATTGAATACAGATTTTCATTTAGGTATTAACAAAGAAAAACAAAAGAAGGAAATGTCATGAACGTAAAATAAATTTGAGGTTATATGCTTTGGCACTGGACGTCGACTTCCTAAACACAAGGAGCGGCAAAGGCCGGCTTCCCTCTTAGCAATGACACACACCACATGAGGAACACATTCTAGAAGTTGACATGAAGATACACGGGATACTCGAGACAACTAAATAGAAAGAAATAAAACATCTTTGGAATGACGTACTTTTATGATTACCTATTAAATGATTCCGATCTGAAAGTGGAAAATTTAATAAATAAATACGTGAACTCAACGCATGCCAAATCAACAGGGCCGGATGATACTAAACGATCCAATATTGATGAACTATACCAATTATGTTTGTATCAGTAACAATGTTTAAACAATTATCATTTAAAACCAATTCAGTTATGAACTTGAGGATGGGACAGTAAATTGTGTCGTATTCTCCAACAACAATACATACCGACATTCGACATTCACACACCAATATATCTTCAAATTCATAACAAAGGAAGATCTGCAATTAGTAATGGAAAGAGAAGTTGAGCATTGAAGAATTAAATTAAACAAAAACAGAATAAACTGAAACAAAGTAAATCAAGAAGAAATTTTGGCGAAAGCGCTTGCAGGCAAGTCACGTGCTCGAGTCGATACGTTAGTACACGAACGACGCAGCTCACGCCCTCCGGCGTCGCATGCTCCAAGCGCTTCGTCAAAAGCCAACCAAACGAAGTCGTAACGGAAAAACTGAACAAAACAAAATGGAGAAATTGCGACTGTTACAGAGCGGAAGGACTGTAGTTTCGTACAAGGTGACTGTACTACCAAAACTGCAATACTGTCGCGTCGTGAGCAGGGAATGCTGCGGGGCGGGGGGCGCGGCGTACACGTCGGAGGCGGTGGAGAGGCACTTGTGCAGTTTGCGGGTACCTTGCGAGCGCGAGCGGCGCACCCGGCCCGCGCCCGCGCCGCCCGCAGCGCTGCCCCCCGCGCCGCCCGCCGCGCCGCCCCCGCCGCTCGCGCCCGCGCCCGCGCCCGCGCTTGCGCCGCCCGCAACGCCCGGCCCGTTCATCTACAACACACACACTCGTCCGACGCCGCCCGCCACCGCACACCGACCTGCCGTCTACCACCTGCCCTAGACCCCTACTTGATACATAACGAACTTTTATTTTTATTCCGTCTTACCTATAAGACATCGATATTAGCCTTTTCTGCAATGCGTGAGACTAATCGACCCAATATTATTCGTAATTAGATTGCTCCCTTATATTGTTTCACGAATTAATCTAAATCATCTACATTATTATTAGAGGTATTTGTAGTTTGAATTAAACATATTTTTATCTTTTTTATACCGCTTTTCATACTTTGGAATTTGGTCCCATAAATTCACTTTGCACATTCCAAACACAAAACTAAAGACTATCAAGTTTTCTGAATCGAAATAAATCTATCTTTTCTTATAAACAGCTATGATTTTTAGAAACTTCTTAAAAAAGGTATTTATACAATTGGAAGAAAATATACCTGTAAACCTTTATTAACTAGCCTAACAGATACGGAACCCAAACTGTCAAAGAAACAACCGAAAAGTGAACTAACATTTTAGAAATATCTGCATGTTACATGAGAAATAGAAACCGCCACCGGATGGTGTCAACACAACATACACTACAACGACAATGAACGTTTAGACTTCCCAGTTAGTTACGGAACGAACGTATAGAGTTGAAAGGTGATCTCTGTGCCAGGTCTGTATTAGTCAGGCGTGTTCGTATGACGACATACGCCGAGTGTTCTCGGTTAGTGTCTCGTGAACCGTATTGTATGCATCAGATATCATACCTATCGGGTTGGGCACTTCTATAACTTCTTCGTTCGTTCGTTCCTCATTGTTCAGTTCTTTCCTCGTGCAAAGGCTCGCTACAAAATCTCCTGAGAAAAGCGCATCGGTGAAAATCGTGGAGATTGTATCAGGGTCGCGTTCCCGGAGTACGGTCGGTCAATGTGAAGCTAGAAGCGGGTAGTGCATACTATGGGCTACGAGCTCCTACCATAGCAGCTCAACATCATCTCAGTAACGGACATCGACAACACAGAGATCAATACTTTTACTTGATGCAAACATTACAATCTTAATATCATTTACCGAGGAAATCTGCGAATAGATATTTAAGGCAGTTAGAGTCCTCGTCGGATGAGCCTTGGTCCTTTGGAATAGAAAACATAAAAATCAATCACCTAGCTCGTCGACGTCCTACAACTATAATATCGTTACACGTGGAAATATACAAGTGATCCAACACAAACGCTGTTTTATAATAATAATATGTTACACTTTAACATAAATATAAAAAGCCAAATATCACAAAAAGCATAAAAGCATAATATACAAGAAAATATAACAATACCATGAATTCTAAGAATTCAAATCAAATATTTTTAGTCATTACTTCACTTGGATTGTTATTTGATATTTTATTAAACTAGCTACGGATCCACCTACAAGAAAATTTTAATTATAATAAAAGTTAGTCATTACTTGGAATAAAAAAAAATGATGCAAAATTCGATACCATTCAATTCCAATCCCAGGTAAACTACTCTATGTGACGTATGATCTAGTCAGCCGGTGATATGATGAGGTCTGTGGGGGTGAGATGTCGCGGGGTGCGCGGTGCGCAGGTGAGGCGTACTTACTGAAGCGCCGCATGAGATTGCCGGCGAAGGAGGGCGGGGGCACCGGGCCCGCCGACTGGCGCTTCCTTGCCTCGCGCGCCGCCTCTTGCCGGTACTTTATGTTCGGCACCGACAGCAGCCTCTGCTCCCTTTGCTCCCGCCCCTCCTCCTTCTTCTTACTCTTCTGCCGTGGGGGTCTCGTCGGTTTGCCCTCCTCATCGAACAATGGAAGGTTGTCAGGCCGCGAAACCTTTTCTTCCTCCAGCTTGGAGGGCGAAAGATCGGGCGTTACTTCATTGTTATCCTTATCCTGCCACCTCTCCTGCAGCTCTTTGTGCATCCGGTCGTAGACATCGGACGACCTCTTTTCTTGCAACTCCTTGTGCATTCTTTCGAAGACGTCGGAGCAAACTCTCAAAGGCGAGGAGAGATCTTTGTCTTCTTCGGTGGCTTCGGTGGCTTTTTCAATCACCTCCAGGTTTTCCACGTTGGCCTCTGGGGTGGGGTCCGATTTCTCAACGGGATCGCAGTAAAACTGCGAGTTTCCCCTTTCTTCGTCCACGTTGTTTTCGGGGGGGACGGTAAAGGCAGATTTGAACTTGAGATCTACTTTAGAGAGCTGTCGTTTGAGGTTGAAAGCCTTCCAGGAGGTGGATCTTCTTCGGGTGTCGAGTTTGCGGTCGTCGTGTTCGTCGGGGGCGGGGCCTGCGGGGGCGAGGGCGGGATCGGGGCTGGCAGCCGGCGACGCGTGCGCCTCCTCCAGCTTCGGGGACACAGGGCGGGTATCAGTTTGGGGTCGGGTTTAGCGCGACTACTTCTCTCGAGGTCACAGCACTACGGGGAGTCGGTTCTCTATACCTACTGTTATAGTTCAAGTCAACGATTCTATAACTTGGGAGTCCATCCTAATGTTTTATAGATTTTACGGAATCGTCGACGATCGTGAGCGGCTCGTATGTGAATTAATGTGCGAAAGAATATAATATTATTGTCATTCGTGGTTCGGTGAGTGGAATGTTACATCTCTGTGAATATCATAAAACCTTATCAAATAATAGGTGGGACAAAAGGTACTAATACATCGATACGTGTCAAGAGAAAGTGAAGACAGGCAGGTAAAGATCTAACGATGCCATGCCACAGTGCTACTCGGAGAAGCCGGGGGTAGCCGCTAAATAAAAGTTCTCAAAACAAAAACCAAGAAATATAAAATAAGGAGTCGGTCGGGGTCGGCCGATGCAAATTATATTAAAATTAAAATAAAATCGCAAATGAAAACTAATGTGAAAAATTTCACCCGATCGACGTTCGTGTCAACCGTTCGGCGATTGTGGTGGTAAGTGTTGACATAGTGGAGGGTTGGGGGGTGGTGTGGGGGCGGTACCTGGTCGAGCGAGGGCGAGCGCTGCCGGTCGTGTGGGCGAGCGCCGGGCTCGGGCAGGTAGAGCGCGTGCGGCGGCAGCGCAGCCACCACGCAGCGCCGGAACATGTCCACCACCACCACACCGCGCTCGCCGCCCCATGCCATGCTGCACCGTATGACCGTTCACTTGTCTTACATTTACAACTAAATGACAATAATATGAGGTTGTGTGCCTTCCCGATGATGAGTTAGAGGACTAAGTTCCGTGTACTCACAGTCCGTATGAGGAGTTGATGGTGAGTGTGGTGACGGGATGCGGTGGGCCGAGCTGCAGCGCGGCCAGTGCGGGCTGGAAGCCGGGCGCGCGACGCGACCCCCCCGTGCCCGCACCGCCCCTCACTCGCAACGCGCCTCCCGCCCATACACCGCCACATGACTGGAACATGCAAAAGCTCTATAGGATTATGCTGCAAGTATACCTAACGCCAATTACATTACAAGTTTATTCATTAAGTTTAGAGAACAAAGGACCAATGACCTTGCAAAAGTTCTAAATTTTTTGTATTAACCAATTATTTAAATTTCTGTTGGCTTGGCCGCGTGTTTGCTCCGGGTAATTTCCGGATCGGCTTGATCGTTTTAGAGAGAGATTTTCACGGGAAGGCAGCTGATGTGTGCTGACGTATTAAATGCTCCTTTTCATTAAGCCCAAAGAATACGGCAAAGAGCTCGCGGGCGATCGTTTGTTCAAGATAATGACGAATATTTTTTAAAGTATTTTAACCACGAAACCTAATACAACAATGTTAACGTACTTTAATTTTAAAACGTTGTTATCTTTACTTTGGTTTTATAGATATAATCTCCTTACCTTCCTGCCCTCCCCCTCGGCGTTGTCACCCCCGCGGCTGAAGGAGGCAGACCGGCTGCCCTCCGGCTCCGGGGACGTCTCCTCTTCTAATGTGTCGGTTATTACTGGAATTTCTAAAACCTGATGCAAAGAAAGTAACACAGATTTGTACCACACACTTGAAGAAACATCTGCGGGAACAGTAAAAAAATAATTGAGTATATAGCCCAACTTGCAAGGATCTCCTAAATGAAATAACACGCATTTAAAGATTACGGTCTAAAGTTGAGAGGCATATTAATAACGGATTTGGAGAATGGTTAATTATGACTCACGTGTGTCTCGGCTGTGGTCTCCGTCTTGCGGAACTTGAAGAGCACGACATGTCCGTGCGGCAGCGCCACGCTCAGCCGCCGCGACTCCGCGCACAACGCCACCTGCTGGATGCTCAACGCGCCCTCCTCCTCCCACCCACCACGACGCTCGAACACTGACACACATACACTCACTCAATAATTTTTAGATACGAGTCAAAAACTGAGTAAAGACAACTCATCAATCAGTCAGTCGCTGACTTATGGAATCTTATTTATGTTTGTGACCAGGGATGTGTGTTATCAGGGACTGACTCACAAATCACTACAGTCCTATTGTTCTGGCCATTAAAAGTGATTTTAATGGCATTGATTAATTTCATATTAAAAATACCTGAGTGATAAAAAAAGCATATTAATGTAACGTGATAAGATAACTTACCTTTAGAACATTTTAACTTGTATAGAATTTGTAACGTCCCCGCACTCGCGTCCCAGAACTTAACGCTGCCGTCTGCGTGTCTGAAATGTTTGGTATGGTCATAAGGTATTGCCACTTAAAATGTTATAGGAATTAAAAAGCATACGCCTTACAAACTAACTTACTTCAAATTAAAAGCTAAATGATAATTGTAACCGCATACACTCAAAAATCACGGACCTGATTTATAAAATTTTATTACCAAAAAAAAGCTGGTTTATCAAGGAGTAATAAAGGGTACATTTACTAAGTAAAAAATGGGATGTTTTTATTTGTTTGTAGTTATTTAGAGATATGCTTACCCTGTTAGTATGATCTCACTGTATGAACATGAAGCAGGCGCCCACTCGCCGCCGTTGATGGGCCACAGCTTCTCACTGAAACCCGCCACCTTTTTATTGCCCTGACGACCCACTGAGTAGAACGCGGGAATCTGCAAGACAACAATGGGTTTTCTTTTTTTACTTATTTAAATATATGTTCATCAACATTCTTAGTGGCCAGACCGATATCTTTGGTAGTATATACTCCTTGGCTACCGACGAGGTTGTATACGTCAACAATGAGCTTACTAAGCATGGAAATGGGACTGAGTTGTCGCGATAAGTACTTACCAAGTCAGAGGGGCAGTCTGCGAAGTATGAGCAACAGGTGACAGGCGACTCGTGTATGTCCATGGGGTAGGGGTTCTCGAAGCACGGGTACCCGGGGGACAGTAAGTCGATCACCACCAGGTCGTTCTGAAGAAGGACCACGATCGCGTAAGGCTCTTGGTAGTCTAAAACATACAATTTATACCACTATCAGTCTTATATTTCAAAGTTTAGAAGCTCTGCAAGAATGGGTTTTAAGGAAATGATGATTAACCAGTGAAATTTGGTATTACATTAAGTGATTTTGGGTGAAACATGAATTCAAATTATTACAGTATATTTGCTCACCAGCAGCATGAGGGCTTTCACAGAGCGTGACGAAGTCGACAACACTGTGTTCCATCTCCAATACAGTGGTGCTCTTTCCGTTGAGCACGGTGACGCTGTGCGTCCGCCCCGCCTTATCCGTAGGCAGGCCTCCGGAGAATATCACCAGGCTTTCACTGGAAACAACGCCCTTACATGTCAAAATACATCGGGAAAGAAGCTTTTGAATGTGTCACTCAAAAGAAAAAACTCCGAGTATACTTGATTAATCTTGTGCCTAGAATTACCTAGAATCAAATACGTGTACTTACCCTGATCTCGATGTTTTCCATTCCAATCTGTGTATAGGCTTGCAAGGTTCCAGTTTTCCGTCTTTATTCGCTTTCGCTGGAATTAAACACGTATTCAATAAATCTTTCGTAAGTCCGAAAAAATAGCTTTAACACTTCACATGTTGACTTCTATACTAGATTAAATTTAACGGGAAGGTGTTCATTTGCTTGTCTGTACGTCTTAGGGATAAGCATTGTTTCTAGCAGTGCTTACCATGTGGGTATGTGACAGTGGATGGTCGTGGTGCCCTCGTAGTCCATGTGGCGAGCGCGCCGTCAGCGTGTGCTGTCATGAGCTTGCCATCGTGTTGCCAAGCGGCGGCGCGCACGTCGGGCGCTCCCGCTCCTATGCCTGCCAGCCCTCCGCGCCATTCTACTGCGCGCGCCCTCAAGTCCCACACAACTATGAGACCAGTTTCGAACGCTATTAGCAGCTGGAAACAAAACACATAACAATTCTATTAGAAATGTTTCGTATCGTTAATAAAAAAAAAAATCCAAACCCAAGTGCAGTGTGAGAAATTCAAATTTGTTTTAATCGTATAAAGCTCAATTTATTTGGGACTTGGGACAAATAATCTGCTCTGCTCTTAACCCCGGTCTGTGTGAAATATTGCTTACGTAGTATGTAATTATACATTAACACTATTGAAGTATTACGTAATGTCAAAGATATCCCTAAAATAAAATTCTTAGAGAGTTAAGCACACCTGTACATCACTTTTTTCCTTCTATTTGTTACTTTATTTATTCAATTTTGCGTACAATGTTTTTACCATTTAACTAATATTAGTCCTTTTCATATGAAAATATGCTATAAAAATTATAATATGAACATTTCGAATTTCAAGTATGTAGCTTGAAAAAATATTTCTTAACATAAAATATGTAAAATTAGGAATGCTCACAACATAAAGTTCGCGCAAGTCTTCGTCAAAGAGACAAAAATAAAACACGTCGGAAATTTTTACAGAAAATTGCAAAAAAGCGGCAAAAGAAGTTCATTTGAGCGAGCATCAAGCTCGTTAATGATATTGCAAAAGCTCAAAAAGCCAACAACGACCTTCAAAATGTCGGCTTGTTAGTGCACACAAGTTAATTTTATCATCACAGATTTAAAGTTAATTTTATAAACTAATTTTCTTGGTTGCGCAAATATTCTTTATAGCTGTAAACTTAAAGAGAAGGGAAGAATATGTGAAGAAGATATAAATTTTGCGGACTAATAATTCTTATTTCTTTGCAAAAGTAAACTTAAGAAAAGATAATATAAGCACGAAAGAAGTGATGGACCGATTGGTAGTTAAAGGCTTTGAAAATGATGACGGAATCACAAAAAAAGAAATGTAAGTATTCAAGTGGCCTCGTTTAAAGTAAATGAAACATGTAGATCTAGAAATTAGTTATTACGTACAATTGTGGTGTGTATACATAAATAGATACTCTACTCACTTTGCTAGCATCCAGTGGGTTCTCACTGATGGCCACCACAGCGCCAGGATGGTTCGGTCTCGTACTAAAACAAACACATAACGATGCAAGATTAATATATATTAACCTAACCTAACCAGTGTTCTTAATTTTTTGATGTGCAATTATTTATAGATAGTTCGACACATGTTGACGTATAGTGCGATTCACCTGTGTTGCCTTTTGGTATTGTAATTTCGAACACATGCTGCTACATTTGTACCAAAGCTTATAGCTATCCCCTTTTTTTATGAAAATGAAAGGGATGGCAATATGTTTCAAAATGCTACGTCTTTGGAAACTTACAACTACTGCAGACTTTCTCAAAGCTTACTCTTCGACTTCAAAGTTATAGTACTTCCTAGTCGAGTCGAGTAGCTTCAAAAACATTAACTTAACCTTTAGTTATGACGAATAGTCTTTTATTCTCAAATCAGATGAGTCTTTTTCGTCAAAGTAATTGTATTTGCAATTTATTTACAAGACAGCCGTTAGCGGAGCAATGATCTATAAACGATTATGTAAATGCGACATGGTGAGGGTGTCCCGGCAGACCGGCGCCACTTGTTGCGACGCGGTGCCACCCCCAGGGTGAGGGGTGGTGGGCTCTTAAACTGACCTATAGTTACCAAGTTACCATGTAATTAAACTATAACGTTTTAAAAGAATATGATAATAGCAAGTAATATTAAATTTGGTAATATCCAGAGTATTTATTTATTATTGGTGTAGACCAGTGGTTCCAAAACTTATTTTGTGTACTGCCCACTTTGAGAATATATATATATTTTTTAGCGCCCCCATATTAGAGTTTAAGCAATCTTTTAATTCATATTAGTTGATGTTCACAAGTTGTTGAGAGTCGAGAGCTCATGCAGTCGTTGTCTAAGAGGCTTCCTAGCTAAATAAAATTACATATCACCCCCCAGGCCTCTACACAACGCCCCCATTTTCTTTCTGGGTCTGTTACCGCCCCCCTTGCGACCTGCAGCGCCCACAAGGGGACGACATCGCCCACTTTGGGAAAGACTGGTGTAGACTGTCATTTGATTACAGATCAAAAACCTAAACGCTATTCTTATTCAGTATTCGCAAAAACAATGACATAATAAATCAGACAGTCGTGACGGTGACCTCATTGTGGAGGCGGTATTGAGGGGTGAAGGGTGAGGGGTTATGGGGCGAGAGTTAATCGCTTGTGAAACGACGATAATGAATCGTCAGGACGCGTCGCCAGTGAGAAGTTATTAAAGATGGCACAGAAACGACGAGTCACCATATTCTTATAGAAAGATATTGCAAACTTAATACAATGAAAGTGACTCACTATGGGAAAACCCACAAAAGTTAGAAGTGCATATATCTATTTTAAAATGAAATATTTAGTTAGGGTGAAAAAAAAAATAAGCTGAAAGGAAATAGCATGAAGAAATTAATTTTATTCATCCTCTTGATATATTTATGACAACTTTAGAAACAAGTCAAATGTTTCATCCAATAGTTACTTAAGCTACCGTAACTTAACATATTGACGTCTCTTTCATTCTCGTCAACGATAGAGAGATTGTAAACCTAGGCCACTGGTTCAGATCCAACTCGAAGGATCAAAAATGTTGTTGATTTAACATAGCTAACACACTCAATGTATTTGTGAATTGTACATACAATGAGTAACAACTACAAAGTGCCGACACTGGACTAACATACGTGAATGTTTTATACAATACTAGCTATCGCCCGTGACTCCGTCCGCGCGGAATTCTTCAACTTCTTAAATAATATAATAGTATTAGTAAGTAAAATAAAAAGCAGTTCTTCAAGGCATACATTCGAAAAAAAATGAATAAATAGTATCCTATGTCCGTCTCCTGGCTCTAAGCTACCTCCTTACCAATTTTCAGCTATATAGGTAAAGCCGTTCTTGATTTATAAATAGTGTAACAAACACGACTTTCTTTTATATATTATATATAGAAGATGTGTGTTTGAACACAATGTGTATTATAATACAAGTATGACACAAGTCTTATGTTTTTTAATCCTTAATAAAGTACGTGTAAGTGAAAAGACACCGGGCTATAAGAACCTAAAAGCTCTCAAAGACAATGCTAAATGGGTTACACGAGTTTAAACCAAGCGAGAGTTGTTAGACACTTCGCTGAGCTCTGCGCGAAACGCGTTTTATAAAGTAGCCCTTTTTACAAGTACCCTCTGTTTTGTCAAATGTTTCAGTACCATTTTACTTAATGTAAGAGACGAGAAACAGTTCTTTATCGTCTTTACCGGGTGGGAGACTGGTAGGAGACACGTACGTCATAAATAACAATATAATTATTACGGTAGTTTGTTATTTGTTTATCTATCTATATTAAAAAACGATCATACATTCGAAATCGTAATTTAACTCCTTTTTATTGGTAAAACATTATAAAAGGAAATAAAAAAAAAACGTATCTTTTTTATTACGTTCTCAATCCATTTTATTCTACATCTTTTACTTAAAAATATGTATATAAAGTTTCAGATTTAAAGCTATGAGCGTTTGTACATTAAGAAAAGTTTGTAACAATGATATCGTACATAAACATTGTGGGTAGATGTAAAATTTTCACATAATGGAGATCATTATAACGCGGCCTGCGGCATGGCGCTGCAAACACAACGCGGGTAGTAAGCGTAACGAAATTCCGCCATTTTACGTTACAAACTTTTTGAAATGATTTCACGATGCATTGCGTTTTGTTATGTTTAATTAATGAGAGCCTTATCTTTCTTCTTTTTTAAATATTATAAAGATTTTCCTTGCCATAGAGTACATGTACAAAATGACAAAACACACAGAGTATAAAAATACTTCTAATAAAGGCCTGTTTGAAAACATTTATTTCTTTTTATAACTCATATCTCGAATATAATAATGTTCTACTTAGAAATATCGTTAAATGACAGTACAACAATCGGTTGTCGGAAGGACGGCGGGAACTCCATGTCTGACAGCTTCATAGAAACAAGATGGCGACGGGACGCGGAAACGGCGGGAAATGTCGGAAATGGCGGGAAACTTATTGTGTCTCGCGCGCCGCTTATCGAAGTTGAGATGTCCTGTTTATTCATATAAACTTTAATACTTATAACTTTTAATTTATTGTGACACATATTTAAATTTTAGCTTTCAACTATCGGCATGTTGGTATAGCAACATATTTTATCCCTCTCATTATCTTCTCAAAAACAGAGAAAGAAATATGTATTATCTAGAGTTCGGAAGTGACTTTTCATAGTTACATTAGTTACATATAATTTGTATAGTGGGTTTTTAATTTTTTGTGTGTCTTTCTGTCGGCTAATATGCGTTAGTTCCGGGTAATCACCGAAACAGCTGGCCCAATTTTGAAGGGAGTTTCACTGGAAGGAAGTTATTGCAAGCGATAAAATTATGGGCTAATTTTATTATATTATAAATATATATAATTCCGCGCTTACGTTTCGAGCGACTGCTAGTTGCTTAATAAAGGTGAAAATTAATAGTCTATTTTCATCTTAAAATTGCGAGAAGTATATTTGGCGCCAAAACATTCTTTATAGAGTAAATAAAGCAGTCAAATGGCAAACAACGTGATTGGAATATAAAACAGGCAATTTCTCGCTACAGATAACATCAAAAGATATCTGTGGCGTGGCTACAATCAGTCGGCTATGCGAGATGCATGCCTATTTCCAATTCAGTGACCGTAGCCTGCCATTTATTTTTATTTTGAGATATTTATACAGGTTGCATTTATCTATACTATAACTTATATAAATCTTTATTGAATACATACTAAAAATAATTGTCTTTTAATTAAAAATTACACATTATTAATTTAAACATAGTTATATTTGACATTTAATTATGAATACACCCATTTTCGCATTTTAAAACACCCTTACTTTTCTCGACGTAATTATTTGGTAACATCCTGTGTGTCTTAACCCCTTATACTATAATATTGAAACAAGATTAATCTTTGTAATTACTCTTGTATTATAGTAATTTTTAGGGTTCCGTACCTCGAAAGGAAATAACGGAACCCTTATAGGATCACTTTGCTGTCCGTCCGTCTGTCTGACAAGACCCTTTTTCATTTATGAAATATTCTTTTCTTTTCTCACTATTTTTTTAGTTTCACATAGACATGGAACATCCTGTATAAGTACTTTTTTTCATAACTTACGTATAATTGGAAAATTCCTTACTAAATGTATATTAACTTTATTTAACAATGGATATCATTATAACGTTCCCTCAGGACGTTATTGTGGGTGACGCCGGCTACCCCAGGGGTGGGGAGATGTCCTGTTATTTGTCAACCTTAATGAGTTTCACTCTTCCAGGATCTTAATTGTCTTGAAGTTTGGATGAGTGTTATTCATTCGAATAATGGTTATAACTTTTGCATTATTACTATATGGGAGGGCATCTGAGATGTAGTAATGAATTAAATAAAAGAATAGTACAAAATACGCATCGTAAAAATGTGAAAGGATATAATATATCATCATCAACCTGCCCTTATCCCTATCGAGGGTCGGCACAGTATGTACTACTCCTCCATACATCTCTATCAGCCGTCATATCATAGTCTACCCCCTTCCTACGCATATCCTCTTTCACACAGTCATTCTTTTCTTCCGCTAGCTTTGTAGCCATCCGCATTCAATCTCATTACTTTTTTGCTTATATTACCATCATCCCTCCTCATAACATGTCCAAATCACGCTAATCTTTTACTCCTCAATTTCTCGATCACTGGCGCTACTTTCAAACTCCCTTTAATATATAAATATAAAGAGATAAAAATAATTTATAGGTCTTTATATCCTTGTGCAAAATATATCCATCCATACTTCAAAACGAATGCGTTTACAATATTAGTAAAAGATAGGATTACAACACGCATTTGTGGAGCCTGAGTAAATAAATTACATTTACAATTTTCTATAAAAAAAAACTAGTAAAGACAGTTTGCCTAAAAGTCGTGTATAAAAAGTTTTCCAGACACGACT